AAACAAATTTGAACAGCATTGCATGTACAATCGAAACTATCGATATTCCTAACTGAAATCGATACTATTGGTCGGAAACTAATTTAACAATCAATTTATTGAATTTAAGTGCTTACCAATAGCAATATATCGATATTTCGATTTATCGTGACACCCCCTACGAGGGACACACAATAACATTCCTTGTACCTACAGCGCATCAAGAGTAGTTATGTGTGTCTGTTATTTCATCCATCAATCATGACCACTGTCCACACGATCATCGATTCATTCCAGGCTCTGAAGTAATTATCACAACGTACTGTACACTACACTATTTCATTACCTTACAGGACTCTTTTATTGCCGGCAATGACTCTTAGATTGATGGACCCCCACTGTTGTAAGTAAAGATAATACCCTTAGTGTCACTTCATCATTGTCTACAATAGCCTGACAATTACAGCGTAAAACCATTACTAGTCTGTTGGACACTGCCAGAAGGATGAAACATTGATGTGACTGACAACCATTTCTATCACCTGTACTTTCATACTAGAAAACCAGGGAACACATATATAAAGTTTTTTCATCACATGTCGATAAAATGTTAAAATTCCAAGGCTTGCCAAGGAGCATAAACATTTATTGAAGAGTGTTGACATATTTGATATCACACAAAACACTGGTGTGCGGGAAATTATATGTGCAATAATGCACATACGATTTTTATGAACTCGGTCAATTCTTTCCCTGTGGGTAACAAATATTTTAATGTTCATCATTCACATAACAAAAGTATGAATATTCATAGGAATGGAAGTGAATGTACAACCACATCAAGTCTCTCTGTACCAACTCTATCTTACTCCCAACAGGACACGGAGAAATCATCGTTGATCAGACCTCCCATCTGTAAACTTCAATATGTCTCTCTGTACCAACTCTATCTTACTCCCAACAGGACACGGAGACATCATTGTCATTGATAAGAACTCCCATCAGTCAACTCCAATATGTCTCTCTGTACCAACTCTATCTTACTCCCAACAGGACACGGAGAAATCATCGTCGTTAATACGACCTCCCATCTGTCAACTCCAATATGTCTCTCTGTACCAACTCTATCTTACTCCCAACAGGACACGGAGAAATCATCATCGTTGATCAGACCTCCCATCTGTCAACTCCAATATGTCTCTCTGTACCAACTCTATCTTACTCCCAACAGGACACGGAGAAATCATCATCGTTGATCAGACCTCCCATCTGTCAACTCCGATATGTCTCTCTGTACCAACTCTATCTTACTCCCAACAGGACATGGAGACATCATCGTCGTTGATCAGACCTCCTATCAGTCAACTCCAATATGTCTCTCTGTACCAACTCTATCTTACTCCCAACAGGACACGGAGAAATCATCATCGTTGATCAGACCTCCCATCTGTCAACTCCAATATGTCTCTCTGTACCAACTCTATCTTACTCCCAACAGGACACGGAGAAATCATCATCGTTGATCAGACCTCCCATCTGTCAACTCCAATATGTCTCTCTGTACCAACTCTATCTTACTCCCAACAGGACATGGAGACATCATCGTCGTTGATCAGAACTCCCATCAGTCAACTCCGATATGTCTCTCTGTACCAACTCTATCTTACTCCCAACAGGACACGGAGAAATCATCATCGTTGATCAGACCTCCCATCTGTCAACTCCAATATGTCTCTCTGTACCAACTCTATCTTACTCCCAACAGGACATGGAGACATCATCGTCGTTGATCAGAACTCCCATCAGTCAACTCCGATATGTCTCTCTGTACCAACTCTATCTTACTCCCAACAGGACACGGAGAAATCATCATCGTTGATCAGACCTCCCATCTGTCAACTCCAATATGTCTCTCTGTACCAACTCTATCTTACTCCCAACAGGACATGGAGACATCATCGTCGTTGATCAGACCTCCCATCTGTCAACTCCAATATGTCTCTCTGTACCAACTCTATCTTACTTCCAATAGGACATGGAGACATCATCGTTGTTGATCAGACCTCCCATCTGTCAACTCCAATATGTCTCTCTGTACCAAATCTATCCACTTCATCAACTGTTCATCAACCCAGACGTTGAAGTGTTATGCATTGTTGACGAAAACAAGAAATTCCTTAAGTAGCTGCATCCAATACATCCCACCTCAGGAAGTCCTCAGAAATGTGGTACTTCAACTTAAACAAGTACTTCCCAATCAACACTATTAATTGTTAACCAGTCTCAAAGGAAATATTATAAGCTGTCAACAAATTTATCTTAATAGCAAAATTTGTTTCTTACAGTTCTGGAATAAATGTCAGCAGTTTTACTAAGTTAACAAAACTTGTAGCAGACGAAGGAAATGAACTGAGTTACTTCCCTTTACCCAATGCATTCGGATAAGCATTGGAATATTTCAACTCAAACGACACTTATTCGAGATATGCAAGTTACCTATAATGATGTGTGCCGATTGATTTCTCAGAGGGGTACATGAGCCGGCGACATGAGCCAGCAACATGAGCAGGCTACATGAGCCGGCGACATGAGCCAGCAACATGAGCCAGCAACATGAGCCAGCAACATGAGCAGGCTACATGAGCCGGCGACATGAGCCAGCAACATGAGCAGGCTACATATGAGCCGGCGACATGAGCCAGCAACATGAGCAGGCTACATGAGCCGGCGACATGAGCCAGCAACATGAGCCAGCAACATGAGCCAGCAACATGAGCAGGCTACATGAGCCGGCGACATGAGCCAGCAACATGAGCAGGCTACATATGAGCCGGCGACATGAGCCAGCAACATGAGCAGGCTACATGAGCCGGCGACATGAGCCAGCAACATGAGCCAGCAACATGAGCCAGCAACATGAGCATGCTACATGAGCCAGCAACATGAGCCAGCAACATGAGCAGGCTACATGAGCCAGCAACATGAGCAGGCTACATCAGCCAGCAACATGAGCAGGCTACATGAGCCAGCAACATGAGCCAGCAACATGAGCCAGCAACATGAGCAGGCTACATGAGCCAGCAACATGAGCAGGCTACATGGAAAATATTTGAAAGTATTTCAATGTAAGGTGAGATAAGGTGTGATGTACCATGCGTGAGAGCCTATGTTGCCCTGAGATGTACCAATTGACAACAAATTTATCTTACCAGCAAACTTTGACAGCAAGCAGACAATGAAACTCATCTGGAGTTATCACCTTGTATTAAAGATGAAATGCTTGGTAGTTTGCAGAACTGATACACATTTGACTGGTGTCAGTTTTGGGATAACATAAAGATATCACTGTATCTGTATCATGAAGTTCAGAACATTACCTGATATCTCCAAACTTGAGAAAACAAAAACAAACAATGTTATCACTATCCCCCTCAATGGGGCACATTTAGAATTTTGGTTATTCATATAGTAGTGAATAAAAACTATAGAAAAAGCGTCCCATAAAGAAGAGATAGGCACTAGGGTCACATTCATGTAACATCCATAGTTTCTGAAAAAACTTGTCCCCACTGCAGACACACTGTACACTTCGTTGAAAAGCATGGAGCAAGGGCCCTAACTCTGTAAGAAAATAATTCACAGCACCAATTTTCGAACTCAGTCTTGACAAGTATCTCTTTCATTCAGATTATTTTAGTAGTTTCTGAGAAATCTTGTCCCTATTTCACCCAGTATGCACCAAGTTGAAATGCATGGGGCAAAGCAAATGCGGCACCTTAGACGACCGGGCCACCAGGCCCCTGACTCATAACAGGCTCTAATAAAAGGTATCAAACCTAAACCATGCTAAACTCACAGTCCAATTAACAAAACAATAATCATGATAATGTCATTCTGGATGTACCACTGAAACGGAACAAGTCATTGAAAAAATAATAAGCCATGATCGTGATAATCATGATAATACTCAGTCATGTCAAACAGATTCAGACTTGAACCCTGTTAGTCCCCGAGACAAGCAAATATCTGGAAAGACAAGTTTTTTCGAATAAATCTAGTTCCATTACAGTCTGAGACTTTGGCCATGAGTCCGAAGCCTGAGTCTTGAAAAGATCTGTGTGTTCTTCTAAGCTCAGTTAATATTAGCAAACACAATATGAATAACACAAAAATCAACTGAAAATGATGCTGAGAGACAGATGAGTAGACAAAGACATTCTTGGCACAGGCTGGTGGATCCAGTAAAATTTGGTAGTTAAATCAGTACTCTTAAAAAATCGGGGATAGCTTCTGCGTATCTGCGTATCTGCCTACCCGCCAGGTCTGGAAGCAATATTGCCATAAACTTCACCCCCCAACCTCCAGACACAAGGACAACTGTCGCAAGTGTGCAATGTCTGACCCTTTCCCCATGTTGAAGCATTTGGAAAAAACTTAACTTGTACTTACTTACCTTTAGTTGAAAAAACCAAAACTCCATTACAAACATGAGACATTAATACAACATCTATCGGATGCTGAAGAAACATTCATAGTTTTCGCACTAATCACATGAACAACTGTAAAACATCTCAATCACTTATAGGCTAAAAGACCACTTTATCTTAAAAACAAGTCATCATCTGAGTATTTACAATTTCTGTGGGACGCCACATCCCACGTTAAAGCGCAAGTATTTGTGATAGAAAACATACGATGTCCAAAAACCTATTATGCTGCAAGCTCTGATCGAAAACAGGAAATCCGCAACGGTTGTCCGGTTTTTCGATAATATCTTTCGGAGTTTTTTTGTTTTAATCTTTGATTATATTTTTACGCAGAAGATGATTTTTTCCGATGACTACTGTTTTAAAAAACATGATTTTCCGCGTTTCCGTGGAGATTTCACATCCCTGGTTAATGCATGTTAACACATACCTTATCAAGTACCTTACATTCTACTCCATGTTTTTTAAATTGAACTGAAAACTTCCTGCTGACATGAATGTTATGTGTAATTATCACAAACATACTGTAGTTACCTCAGGTTGAGAGAAGTGGTCCTCTGCAAGGCCAAGATCAGCGTATGTGACGTCGTCGGTGTCGGACGTCCCCGACATCACCCCTCCTCCGATGTCCGTCCATGTGTCACTAGCTCCTGACCCTGACACAAACACATGAGACACAATCACACACAACAAGAGTACGCTGTGACGTCATCGGTGTCGGACGTCCCCGACATCACCCGCCTTCTCCGATGTCCGTCCATGTGTCACTAGCTCCTGACCCTGACACAAACACATGAGACACAATCACACACAACAAGAGTAACCGTGACGTCATCGGTGTCGGACGTCCCCGACATCAACCCTCCTCCGATGTCCGTCCATGTGTCACTAGCTCCTGACCCTGACACAAACACATGAGACACAATCACACACAACAAGAATACGCTGTGACGTCATCGGTGTCGGACGTCCCCGACATCACCCCTCCTCCGATGTCCGTCCATGTGTCACTAGCTCCTGACCCTGACACAAACACATGAGACACAATCACACACAACAAGACTACGCTGTGACGTCATCGGTGTCGGACGTCCCCGACATCACCCCTCCTCCGATGTCCGTCCATGTGTCACTAGCTCCTGACCCTGACACAAACACATGAGACACAATCACACACAACAAGAGTACGCTGTGACGTCATCTGTGTCGGACGTCCCCGACATCACCTGCCTTCTCCGATGTCCGTCCATGTGTCACTAGCTCCTGACCCTGACACAAACACATGAGACACAATCACACACAACAAGAGTAACCGTGACGTCATCGGTGTCGGACGTTCCCGACATCACCCCTCCTCCGATGTCCGTCCATGTGTCACTAGCTCCTGACCCTGACACAAACACATGAGACACAATCACACACAACAAGAGTACGCTGTGACGACGTCGGACGTTCCCGACATCACCCCTCCTCCGATGTCCGTCCATGTGTCACTAGCTCCGGACCCTGACACAAATACATGAGACACAATCACACACAACAAGAGTACGCTGTGACGTCGTCGGTGTCAGACACATGACACACAACAAGAGTATGCTGTGACGTCGTCGGTGTCGGACACATGACACACAACAAGAGTACGCTGTGACGTCGTCGGTGTCGGACACATGACACACAACAAGAGTACGCTGTGACGTCGTAGGTGTCGGACACATGACACACAACAAGAGTCATGCTGCTAAACAGACTGAAGAAGAACTGGCATGAACACCTCTTTTGGGGACATTGCAACAGGAGAATCTTGGGTTGGGACGAGTCCAAATTTACTACCCGGGTACCCGACCCCCTAATGCTCTCAGAGCTCCAGATAACTTTTTGAGCAATTGAATTTTTACTTGAAGGTTTCTATTTTAATTGGGTTATTACAGTTTTCATTGGGAAACCAATATCTTTTCACTCATGTATTCATCACTCTATTGAGTTTTTCCCAATATGAGCAAACCATGTAAACATTTTGAGATTTAAAAAAAACAAAAAAAATAATGTTTTAGATGTATGTACCGGGTATATAAGGGTTCTAAATATAGGCTTGACTCGGAAAGTAAATAAGCTCGTAATTGTGTGTTCGGAAATTAACTCCATTGTACGCATGTTGAAAAAGCTTCATCGGTTATTTACGCATGCTGCTTTTATACAATTAGAGGTTTTCATTTAATGCATGCGTTTCTGTACACAAGTTCATTGAAAGTAATTGGGGTTTTGAATATTGGGGGGGGGGGGGGGGGTATTTTACGCGAATACTCAGCTTATCTGTAGCTCTGACTCTACCCTCCCGGGTACCAGCTGTAGGTCTCAAAAGTTGGGTACAAAATGTCCGATCAGGAATTGTTTTACTAGAGCCCTGGCAAAACATTTTCAGAAACATGCATACCTGGAAGTATGGAGGATTTTGCATTACTCCAGATTTTCTGATTGGTCAGTCAAGTTGTTTGATTGACAGTTTACATTTTGTGACATGTCTACAGCATAAATATTATTCAGATTGTCTTCAAATATACAATGCCATATTCCAAAGCAATGAAACCTACACCATTTTTTGAACTTATGCAACTGTCTTTGTCCAAATAATACATACCTGACTTGTTGCTATCCGATGATTGTGTTCCTTGTCGATGAAAATAGTTTGGTGCGGAATCAGAGAAATGATCATCATCAATATGAATGTCTTTATTGAAGGGATTAAACCTCTCACGGGGAAATGAGCCGTCTTTTTGAGGAGAGCTACTGGAACTAGATTCAGATGTTCTGTCCTGATTTTCATGAACATGTCTTTTCGGCGTTTCACCTTCAGATGACCTAGAACCAAACCTTGACCCCATTCGTCCTTGAACGCTTACAAAATCAGGTAAACTTTCGCTGAAAGCTTCGCTACGTTTCCGATAAACTCTGGAGCTTGGAATGTCCATGGTTTGTAAATGATCATCATGATCATCTATCTTGTCTTTTGAGGTCAAGGTCACATTTCGTATTGGGCTATCAGCATCAATATGGTTTATTTGTTCCTCTTCTTCAGAATCTGATTCGAATCCAGAAAATTTGGTTATTCTGCCTCCACTTATTTTAACAGTGGCTGTGGAGGATTCAGACGCATGAATAATTTCCCTCTTTTCACTGACCTTTGATTCAGATGCCATTGTGACACTGGTAGGTGGCAATCGATTCATGGTTTAATTAATGTTTGTTAAAGCAAATTTTTCACCCCCATGGCTCTGAACAAATGGGCAATGAACATATCCTGTAAAACAAAGAAAAGATGCATATTAATTATTGATTTTGGTCAGTTATCAATTCACATGTATATTTATCATGCTGCAAAAACAAAATCAAAAGACTCTCAGGTAATACAATCAGATCGACTGTTTTGCAAAACAAATATCAAAGTGGAGAGCATCATAACTAAGTGTGTTTTGCGCGTTGTTGCCTTTTGTAATAGCTACACAGATTTACAGTTTATACCTTCTTAAACAAAAACAATTGAATTCACTGAATGAAACCAGTGCATCATATTTGTCACAAATCAGATATTAATGAATTCATCTTTGCCCCACCAAAGAGTCCAAATTGTTCAAATTTTCCTTGTAATATACATAAGATATAGAAATACATTTTGTGTTTGAAGACACCAAAATTATTATTAGACACATGTTGGTGTTTTTTTTCAGTTTCGTTTTTATTATTTTAAACAAAGTGTTCAAGCCATCAGTGTATTTACTGCTGTTTGATGTGATTTCACACAAAACATAATTTCTCGTTGTATTTCACATATGGCTTATTTCGCCAAGTAAAGGAAAAAGGGAGTATCTCCATCACAAGGCTTTTGGGGACAGTAAGATGCGGGAGGCAGTGGGTTTTAATAATAAATTTATTATTGCATGGGCCCATGCAGTGAAACGTATTACAAACTGTTCGCAAACACATTATTTCAGAAAGTGGGCCATGTCATCCTGGCTGCAGCTGTTTAATTGCAGGGTTTTACCTTGACCTTCAAAACTAGGGGTCCAGGGGACCCCCAATAATTAATTCCCGGCCCTTACAGGAAATATGAAGGTCATGTGAATTAATGAAACAGAGTAGTGTACTGTTAGACTTGATAATTAATACAAATAAAAGGTCCTCAATACACACATCATATAAACCGTGTCAAGAATTTCATTGAATGAATATTACCGTGTACCATTCAGGAAGCAATATATTTTTTCTGTGTCCATTCTACACATTTCTGCATACTGGACACACTATTCTGCGTCACGGACAACATTTACAACTCTGTTATTGGCAGCAATAGTTGGTTGGTTTGTTGTTTTACGCCACACTCAGCAATATTCCAGCTATATGATGGCGGTCTGTAAATAATCGAGTCTGGATCAGACATTCCAGTGATTGATGTCATGAGCATCGATTCACGCAATTGGGATCCATAGAAATTGGCATTAGTCCTATAGTCCTTGCCAAACTGCACAATAGTTAAAGTATCATAAGGACAAGTAGAAATTTGCCCTTTTTAAAGGTTTTGCTATATTAGGGGTGACTATTGGTCTGGAAATCACTATTGCGATAACTATTGATATTGAAAGAAACTATTGCAATAACTATTGATATTGCAAGCAACGATTGCGATAAATATCGATAGTTTTCAGTGTATCATTTAAGATGGATTTTAGAATTGAATTAAACCTTGGAACTGACGTTTCCTTTGAATGTGATAACCATAACAACAAATAAAAAGTAAAGTTTGAGATATGTTTGATTTGTTTTTTCTTTACCCTAATAATTTAAGAAAAAGAAACTTCCACATTACCATGTGTAAATTACTACCACTCATGATCAAAAGAAAATCAAATTTGAACAGCAGTGCATGTATTTTATTGATATGGTAAATACAATCGAAACTACGATATTCCTAACTGAAATCGATACTATTGATCGGAAACTGATTTAACAATCAATTTATTGACTTTAAGTGCTTACCAATAGCAATATATCGATATTTAGATTTATCGTGACACCCCTATGCGATATGTTATCATAATAAGGACTAGTCGATTAAAACTGTTAGTTTCTATCGCTGTAGTCAGTAGTGATACAGCCAAATACAGGTCATCAAAATCCCACAGGGTGCCCTCAGAAAAATGTGAGTAACATCAATCTCATTTACCGTATTCGACGTAATAAGCGCCCAGGGCGCTCTCAAAATTAGAAATAGGGGGCTCTTATTAAAATATTATTTTGGTGAAAAAAAACTAGAGTTGAAAGATAAATTTCGTGTTCATGTACGACAGATATATTTTTCCAGAATTTAATTGCCCATAATTAAGGTTGCATATACTATATGAATGCGTATCATACGCGAATAAATAAGTCTTGTGAACATTGATCATCCGGAAGGGGTGCTAATTGGGATTGTTCACTAGCCAATATATTCGCAAATACTGCCGTGGGCGCTTATTACGTTGAATATGGTAAATAGAACCTTTTTCTCTTAAGCAATACTTCCCTGACGACACCTTGATAGAAGATCATGTGTTTGTACCACCCTGATTCGAAAATTCCATTTGTGCAAATGACACCCCACAGAGAAAACATATAGCCCTTCAATGGCACTCCCTTAAATTTTGAGCAAAGATGCAATGGACATGACAGGTGTATGAAGTTTCCATGACTTAATAACGGCACCACTTTTTACTTTCAGAACTTGTCGTTTTAGTTTGTTTGCAAGATGCAGAAATAGATATGCTGCTTGGAACTCCTCGAGTATTTGATAGTCTGTGGTGATACAGCGAAATCATCACAACAATTGTGAAAAACAGGACCCACAGTCACTAATCCAGAGGACTAGAGTCAACCTTATTTCACTAAGAGTTTGTATCCAGTCCTGCTTGAGCAAGACAAACATGTTACCAATGATTACATTTTCTGTCAGTTTTATTCAGTTCCAATTTGTAGAAAAATTTAAGCATTGAGAACTAGTTCAGAATTTTAAGCCTGAAATGCTACTTGTAAATAAGGACTAGCATCATTGGATTTTTACTTGACCTCAGCACAATTTAGTAGTCTCTTGCTTGCGGACAAGTGTATTTCATAGGCTGGTGAAAGTCAGAGAGTGTACACTTCAGACAGCATAAAAAAAGGGGTGCATATAGATATATTACATTATCAAAAGATACTGACTATACAATACAATCATACATTCTAAAAGCGGTGTAAAACCATACTCACTCACTATAAGCACAGCTCTCATATCACCACAATAATCTCATGTAACTTGATCATATCAGCAACTGCATACAACTAGTCGAATACTATTGCGAAACTAAAACCGGCCATATATGATTGAACATGTTGGACATGTCTAACATTCCTTTTCCTCGGCCAAGAATGAACATGTTCTACATGAATACTCAATCACGTCTCTTATCTGCATGCATGTATGGTTTTTGCTTTTAACAATGTGTATTTTGGATAGTGAGTATGGTTTTATGCCGCTTTTAGCAATATTCCAGCAATATCACGGCGGGGGACACCAGTAATGGGCTTCACACATTGTACCCATGTCGGGAATCGAACCCGGGTCTTCGGCGTGACGAGCGAACGCTTTAACCACTAGGCTACCCGACCATCCCTATTATGGATAGAAGCAACTGGCCAAGTAAATACTTGATAGTGTAGCACAGCATGAATACAATGTGTTGCATTTTTAAAGGGGCACTGATCTAACGCATTTCCCCGGACTGGTTGTTGCCTTTGTTATTGTTTTTTCCCCCGTGAGTACCCGGATGATACACAACGCAACTGAGCGTGACCAGAGACTGGGCTACCGTCTGCAAGGACAGCTAAATAAACTTGGATGCTATAGGCAATATTTGTTTTACGCATTTTTACATAAACACTGATTGGTTAACTGTGATCTATAAAAATTTCGACAAAGGGCGCATGTTAATTAATTTCTCCAGCCTAAACAAACAGACAAAAAGAACGACGGAGCTCATCGGATGTCGTCATTTGGAAATACCCAAGATGGTTGTATTTAATACTAAAAAAAAGTATCCATGCAGTGAAAGCATTTTCGGATTTCCGATTGCGTCGATAATACGATTACTACTCCCTTGTTGTCATCCACGTTTTCTCGTATAACCCTACACTTGTGTATTTGTCGTCATTCACTTGATGCTCAGTTAATGAATTTATTACAGGTACAATTAGTGGTAGCACCACTTAGATTACCTGACAAAGGTTCCCATTTGGCATTTATTGTGTCTGGGTTAATTATTCAATCTAAATCCAGGTTTGAAGTGAGATGCAATGTGTGTTATGTAATATGCACGTGGCAGCCCAGCAAGAGATGAATAATCAGTTGATTTACTTTTTTTTGGTAAATCAACGGATCGTTCCTAGCCATCAAAGGATTAACAGAAAATACGTTGATTGATTAATCACTGTTATCTTGCACAGTGGATATGTCAAAAGTGAGTGTTTACATGTCTAGGTTTACTAAAACAAAGGGAATACACTCACATCATGGCGTGAAGTGCCGATGTAAAAACAACATACTTTGTTCAAAGGGTTAACTGATAATACGTTGATTGATTGCTCATTGTTATCTATCACTCAAAGGATTTTTTAGGAACCGTGGACGTTATGAAAATAGTTGTCACGTGGGCTTTCTCAGCCGACCCTTGAGACTTGACACCTATATGAAACACCTGAAACAATCTAAGTGATCAGTTGAGAAACGAACACGGGTTATAATATCCCGAAACGATATATATCTTTTAAAATATTTGATTGTTACAGAGACATGTGACATCGAATAAGTTTCTTTGTACAGCTGCAGACGAGTAGGATATTGTTCCTTTGTGTGCATGGATATTCACGGATACATTCCTCGAAACAAGGAACATGAGGAAGCTGCCTAAAATTTATACACATAAATTTGGTAGGTTGTAATTATGGTATTTGCATTTTGTTTTCATTTGAACCGATTCGTTCTTGTTCCTCTACATCTTGGTTGGGAAATTCTTCAATGCGCAATAGACGTTGTTTTCACAAGTCTTTTCCTTTGTAAGCGTGTATATATTACCGTCAATTTGTAAAATCTGATTCTCTCAGGCAATTTATAAAATGTGCAAATATTTCAGGCATTTTGACTGAAAGATCTGTCCAGATTGACTAAAATTGATTAAGACGATCAAAAGGGCCTAAAAACACAACAGATTATTATGTAGGGTGAGAAGCCATACAACATAGAAATGTACTTTTCAACGTCACATTTTCAGTCTCTTGGTGATGACATTAAACATCAAAATGTTTGGAATTCGTTATCATAATAATATAGATGGAAATGTTTTTCAGTCACTTTGTAAAGTAACTGAATATTTAGACGTTTAATAAATTTGTTACACATTTTGACAGTAAAAAAATATACACACTATAAAAAAAGCAATGCTCAGGTGAAATATTTACTTTGTGTTGCAAGTCGAAATAGTGTAAACAAAAATCGCAAAATTACCAAGCAAGTGACTTTTCAAAACTTCGTCACCATTACCGATGCTACCCACAAAGATACCTACATTTCCTTATTATCTCGAAAACTGTATTTCATTTTGTTGATCAATGTGACCATACGCCCTTATTACTACCCATAAAAGTGACTAATGCGCTTACGAATAGCGCAGCAGAGGTCGCGAACTAGTCTAGATTTCTGCTATACATCTGGGTACTCACTGGGAAAAAACAATAACAAAGGCAACAACCAGTCCCGGGGAATTGCGTTAGATCAGTGCCCCTTTAATATTTCAACATGTTATCAACTGATCAACGTATTTTGAAACTTGGCAATCATCAATCATCCTGAACACACAATGCCTTAAAGAAAGTGGTTAAATGTAACAAATGTTACATTTGGGATAACACTTTCTTGGTAAAGTACAGATTCTGGACCTTTTTTGCGGTTGAATCCTGGCCAGAATTTGAACCCACACTGCCAGAGTGTACTCTACCAAATAAGTGTTATCCCAAATATAACATTTGTTACATTTGACCACTTTCTAAATGGCATTGTGTTTATACCTTTCGGCTATGAGAGCCATGTCAATTTACACTTGTCAGAGGGGTACACAAAGTATATGAGACTACCAGTTATCAGATTTTCATTTTGTGGAAGCATCGGTGACTGAGTGGGTTAGAATGCTGACTTTCTGTAATGGTGATTAGGTGCATCACTCTGGCAGTATGGGTTCGAATCCCAGATGAGACTCAACCCAAAAAAGTACTACAATCTGTATTTTACTAAGAATGTGTGAGGCCTATCCCCAATACAACATTTGTTACATCAATGATCATGTCAAATAAGATCAGTACATGTGTAGGCCTACATAAAGAGGATGAATATCTGTGTCAGGCCCACTGCCCTAGAAAACCCAATCATGACAACGCACGGGACGTGTGAATGACAGAACAAAATCAGGTCAGCATTCTAAGCATACATTGGTGTAATACTGTAATAATACCATGTATACTGCGAAGCAAGGCGGATTAACAGCTGATTGATTCTGTACGGATTAAACAAGCCTGAAATTTAACCAGGACGTTGCACGGCTATATAATCAGATCCTTGCAGTCTCTTGGCAACAAAGGAATCGAATGGAAAGTAAATGGGTAGGGAGAACAACCCCCCTGGCGCACCAAAATGCGAAACACTGATTGACGTGACGTCGCTCACGGTCAAATAGAATATCATGCTGGTGTCTGTCTGTTGTCCTTTCATTCAAAACCTATTTGGCTGTTTACCTCAAAGATGCTTTACGACGATATCTACGCCGGTATGCTGGCCTGATTTGTACCGTTACGCCTGATACAGCATAGGCTTCAACTTCAGGACCAAAACAAACTCGTGACGAAAATACAATGACCTGAACCGGAAGTACTTGTTTCATCACATTCCGTTCATAAATGCTAAACCGGTTTCAGAATGAAACCCGTTAGATTTGAGGCCCTGTAAAGGAGGACACGCTTCGACTGTAAAGCGGAGTCATTGTAACAAAAACCGATACAACACTGGGTTTGTTTTTTTTGTTGTAAAAAAGTAGTTTGACATTTTGATCTCATACGAAGAATAAAGTGTAGGTCAGATTAAAAAGGGTTGTCATTGACATAACCTGACTGATATGTGTCAAAATGGCCACACGCCCAAATGGATCCATATATATTATAAGTGTTTGAAAATAGGGTACGCGACGATACGTCTGAAAATCCGAGTTGGCAGCAGGACAAGGTGATTGTAAAGTTTCAACTAAGCAAACTAGCTATGTCTTGTCTGATACTAATGTTGATATCACGCTTGTTTGTGTTTGTTGTTTATGCCTCACTCAGCAATATTCCAGCTATATGACGGCGGTCTGTAAATATAGAGAATCTCAAACGAGTGTCGATATATTTGATATCAAAAGACACTCGGGTGAGATTTTATTTATCATCCAGCATGATTCTTCCAACTTTTTCAGTTTGTAGACAGTAATAAGCAGTGTCTTAAGTGTAAAAAGTACCGCTAACAGCTTCAGTAGCAGAGCCATTAGAGATGTCATTTGATTGTGACGTCATGGTAACCAATGAAGTCACAATGGTCTGCAAAGCATTGTGATGCAATTTTATTGCAGCGATATCTACAGTGTAGATATCGCCTGATCTCACCCAAGCGACATCTCCTGTGGGAGCCAGTTTTGGATCATAAAATCAAGTCTGGACCAGACAATCCAGTGATTAATATCATGAGCATCGATCCACGTAATTGGGATCGATGACATGCATCAACCAAGTCAGCGAGCCTGACCACCCGATCCCGTAAGTCGCCTCTTACGACAAGCATTGTCGCCTTTCATGATATCACGTACAGTTGTCATGTTATACAAGACACACCCACTCGGTAAAGTCCAGCACATACCACCTACACTGTCTTTCTCAATAGGTAGAAATGATCCGGTGACAAGGTCATCACAACCTTTAACCAGTAAATACAAATCACGTGGTTATTTTAATTCACGTGCTGCTAAATTTATAACAAATGTGAATATTTAATTATAGCTACGCTTATCGTATTTCATTGTTAATTGTGGGAGTTGCGACAGTCGTATACACTTCACAGATCATGTTGTTAAATAGGACTATATAAGGACTTGGTCTGTGGGTCTCCTTTTCCCACAGCGTTCATATACCCTATGGCTATCGTGAACCAATGTTAGAGTATTGGAGTTATACGGTGCTGGGATTTCATCGAAAAAAATACACTGTCCAAGAAAAATAAATTATTGTTCAGATTGTTGAAAAAAAGAAAGAAATTGTCAGCCACACAAAATACATTAATTGTTGCAAGATGTTTTTTCTCATAAAAAAAAGCATTCAGGCTCATTGTTTTAATTTAAGAATATAAATTAAAAATGTCCGGTCCCTTATGATCATCTTAACTCAAAGAAATTGCTTTGTTGAACGGAACCTGCAGGAATCCACCATCAGATGTATGAGCAATGCAATTATTATTCTACAATATACAGGAACTATAAGGCGCTGATGTTCACTGTGGCTTCCCATACAGGTGCCAGGATGGTCGTGGGTTCGAATCCCAAACCCGTCCTGATCATGAGTTTTGATTTGCAATCTATTTGTACGCGAGTTAAATTAAATATATATATATATATTGAAAACTCTTAACCAAAGATATAAAAATAGCACATATCCTGTATTTACTCTTCGTTGTTATGTCTTCAGGATTTACTTAGGATGCATAATTGATTTTTACTCGCGAACTTTCTTCAAGATTTGTGTGTGTGTGGATATGTACATGTATATAGAGGTTATCACGCGAGTGTGTTTGGGGGTGGTAAATATCCTGCATTAGGAATAAACATTGTTTTTAGCGAGCCTTGGCGAGCTAATAACATAGTGTTTATTCCTAATACAGGATATTTACCATCCCCAAACACACAAGCGTGATAACCTCTTTATCATATAATGTCATTCTTTAATTCTGTGCATCAAAATCGCTTTCCCTCTCTCACAAACATTACCGAAACATTGCGAGTTTTCCTGGAATGCGCGCATTAATATTTAGTCCGTCACAGGGTAAGTGATGTGTCAGTCGGACAGTGACACTAGCCAATATAGTTCCAACAAAAAACTGTTTCTTATACAGTGGCGAAGCAACTTATACGCAAAACAACCGTTGTTTTTAATTGCCTTTCGCGGCAATCCATCGGTCTGTCCGCTAGAGTAACTGCCCTTTGCCAAAGGGAAGCTACTCTAACCCTAGTCTATGAGACGTCACGGCCACGGTCAGACGTTGTTGACAGTCGGTCTGTCCTGTCATTACGTTAAGAAGTGTAGTCAGATGTACACACAGCGACAAAACGAAACAAGGTAACAATTCAAACATATTTCGGCCAAATCCAACTATTTTAATATGTGGAGAAGGTTTTAAGCCGCAGAGGTCTACAGGCACAGATATGGCTACTGATCCCGCTTGGCTAGGCCTCGTGCCCTCGCAAAATTGTTTCAAAATTTATATCTCCAAAGTTGCCAAAACTTAAAAAATGCCTTAGCTACGTCACAGTTAGACACTGATTCTCAGTATATTAGACTGTTCTTTTGATAATGATAGCAATTATCCCTGTAGTTTACCCAGATTCCCGATGGTTAATTCTGACTCGATCGCCGAATGACGAGGGCGACGCCATGTTTGTTTATAAACAGTGAAAGTAGTCCTACTTGACCTTTGATATTTGCATCTCTATCCGCATATGACCCCAACGGATATCGTTTTTATCCGTTTGCTTTATCCTGCCGAGAAACCTACCCATTATATGATAAATAGATGTATGTCAAATATATACAATATCAATGCACGAACGAAATGCCTTTCAAAGACTTGAATATCAATGAATACATGAATTTCAATCCAGGTAATTCTCTTTTTAATCGATGATGTAATTGGGAAAACCCCAGTTTATTTTCCCTGTCACAAAAGAGATAATTGTCTCAGATAAGATTTGTGGTAAGGAAGATAACGTTCGATAGGTTTAAGACAACTTTGAGAATAGCTGAGACAGGTTCGAGAATGGGCCGCCAGCTGCTTCTATTACTTCTGATAACAATGGATTTTATTGTTTTTGTTTGTCAGTTTGAAAAATATGACTCATTATTTCACTTAATTCATAGGACAGATAATATGCAGGTGCCACATATGGCTGAAACATCCAACTTCCTGTAGTTATTGACCGAGTACGAAATCGGGTCCACCGGAAGCGTCCGTTACATCTCAGACATATTCATCAATAGATACTGGGGTACGAGTCTTGTGTTCCGGGTGGTACGGGAACCAGCGCGCAGGAACTTCAGTTCTGAGGCTGAGTCTGAGCTGGAACTCCACAAACTTCTTGTACGTCTGAGCTGGAGCTCCACACACTTCATGTACGTCTGAGCTGGAACTCCACACACTTCTTGTACGCCTGAGCTGGAGCTCCACACACTTCTTGTACGTCTGAGCAGGAGCTCCACACACTTCATGTACGTCTCTGCTGGAGCTCCACACACTTCTTGTACGTCTGAGCTGGAGCTCCACATACTTCATGTACGTCTGAGCTGGAACTCCACACACTTCATGTACGTCTGAGCTGGAGCTCCACACACTTCTTGTACGTCTGAGCTGGAGCTCCACACACTTCTTGTACGTCTGAGCTGGAGCTCCACACACTACATGTACCAAGCTCCTCACAGCGATAGTACGTTCCCGGAGCTCTCTATACTATCGCTGCCACCAGTCAAAACTCCCCACTGTGAATAGGTGGCCACAACCATGCTTGGAGTTGAACTCGCAACCGAATGACCGTTATGTTTACAAACAAGTGACGACTGTCGTGACGCCGAATACACTTATCGCTGCTAAATTACTTTCTTCGTTTGTCAATTTGAATTTCTGTTTCATTAAAACTATCGTGTTATTGATATAGTAAGAATGTAAGGGAGAAGTTGGTTGATTTTCCGTTAGTCTGCAATCTCGAACCAATCTGATTATCAAAACAACAAAGTAAATTCATCTGGAAAACATGGTCAGTCGTAAACCTTTTCAAATTGAAATATGATGGCATTCCCAAAGACATAAACCAAAGTATAAACGTTACTACATATGGGGTTGGAGGGCAAATTTCAAGATTCTTGTAATGGCCGCGCCCACACTGGTGGCAGCGATGTTACCGAGAGTGTAACGAAGGTGTCACGCGCTGGGAAGGAGCTTGTACATGTACGTCTGAGCTGGAACTCCACACACTTCATGTACGTCTGAGCTGGAGCTCCACGCACTTCTTGTACGTCTGAGCTGGAGCTCCACACACTTCATATACGCCTGAGCTGGAGCTTCATTCACTTCATGTACGTCTGAGCAGGAGCTCCACACACTTCTTGTACGCCTGAGCTGGAGCTCCACACACTTCATGTACGTCTCTGCTGGAATTCCACACACTTCGTCTGAGCTGGCCCCGTTCCTCAAAGCGATCTTAACGCTACGACGATCGTAAACCTAGGTTAAAGTATGGGAATTACGTCCACCTTAGTGCTAAGATCGCTTTGTGTCACGGGGCCCTGAGCTGGAACTCCACACACTTCATGTACGCCTGAACTGGAACTCCACACACTTCATGTACGTCTGGGGGTGGTGTGTGTGTGTGTGTGTGGTTGAATTATACCACATTGTAATTCGATCATTGTTTCGTTTCTCGTGTTGTCATTATACAAACCTTTTGGCGTTATAATAACAGGTCATATGGTGAGGCTTGGACAAATGAGATTGTAAACAATGTTGGTAAGACGCAGAGCTCCAGATAACTTTTTGAGCGATTGAGTGTTTACTCTTGGGTTTCTATTTTAATTGGGTTATCACATTTTTTATCGGATAACCAATATTTTTTCACTCATCCATCATCACTCTATTTGTTTTTTACCAAAATAAGTGAACATTTTAAGATTTAAAAAAATGAAATAATGTGTTAGATGTATATTTACGGTTCTAAATATATAGGCTTGACTCAGGCAGTAAATTAGCTCCTAATTGTGTTTCCGAAATTAGCTCCCTTGTACCCCATGCTGAAAAAGCTTTATTGGGTATTGATGCGTGCTGTTTTTATATATTAAAGTTTTTCTATTAATGCATGCGTTTCTGTACGCAAGATAATTGAAAGTAATTGGGTTTTGAATAGTTTTTGGGAGTATTTTACGCAAATAAGCAGCCTATCTGTAGCATACTAAGCTTTGGTCTCATCGCCTGTTTAAATCCAATTATGGTGGGGGGAGAGGGGGTGGTAAATGGCGCGTGGGATCCTATGTTTCTATATCTTTTCTCAGTGTAACAAAAATAAGTTTAGGATTTCATTTCGGCACCATTATTTTGTGGGCATACCGCAAATCCTCTGTCGTGAATAAATGCCGTATGTTAAAGTATGGGAGTTACAATCATCTTAGCGCTAAGATTGCTTTGTGGGACAGGGCCCAGGTCTCGGGACGTTTAGAAATAAATAAAAGCGGGAGTTTATTCAAGGATTAATTCAAGGATGTATGATAATTCCTATATTTATTGACGAGATTTAAAAAATACATAACCGATAGTAATACGGGATACACCATCGAGCATTTACCGGTGTGCAACCACCACACAAATGATTGCTGCCATGCATATAAATCAAGAACACTAAACCCAGCATCAGTTATAAATATAATTTTCCCCTAGCTATTTTCTTCTATAAAACCAGATATTCACCAAAAGTTAAGTGTTAAAACATTTTTGCTGCACTGCATGACTGAAATACCACACGTTAAGAACAGATAATGTAATCAGTATTTTTTCGCGGTTGAAGAAATTCTCTTGTGAACTTGACAGCAAGAGTTAGCTCCCCGGAAGTTATCGGAGCTTTGACAAACTCAAAGCGGTGTGTGTGTGCTTTCCGCAAAGATATTTAAGTAAATTCAATATCTATCGACAAGATGAGTAGAGAACGTTATCACCCCCTAGCCAGAAGTGAGTATGAAGTACCAGCTGGTAAATATAAATAATTTGAATGCCAAGATTGCCTTTAGAACCTATTTACACATGTATGTATCCTACTTTCGTGTGGAGGTTGTCAGTCAGAAAGGGTCGAGAAACGCGAGGTGCAGGGAGGCCTAAATGCTTTAATGCTAAAAGGGCTAAATGATCGCGAGCATGGAGACGAAAATGACTTTCTGAGAATTACTCAGTTTATCACCCAGGGCGAAGTTTCAAAGATCTCAGATTTCTACAGAGAATATTTCTTGTTGACTTGTCATTAGGATAGATCATATATTTTAACAAGTCCTAATGTTTTCTAAATCGAAGGTTGAATGTTTCGAAAGTAATTTTGATTTCCGCAAAGCAAGTGGCCAGGTTTAAAGGTACATTTGTGTACAACATCTACAACTGTAGTTGATAAGTATAATTAATGTTATATATTGACAAGGAGATTTGATAATTGCACTTTGACCATTATTGACAGTTAGACTGTTGAGTCTCAATGTTCCATGTTCCTCAGTCTGTGGAAAAGTTTGGACTGTTGAATAATCATGATAAATCAACTGCAAGTTTATCTTTGATGAAAAAAGTGTTTTTTATATATATAATTATATCATAATTATGATAATGATCTATACACCTACATACGGATATTAAGAGGTTATCACACAAGTGTGTTTTGTGATGGGAAATATCCTCACATCAAACACAGTGTTTATCGAGTTTAAATTCTCTCCGAATGCATTCCTTGCACTGGAAACACGATCTCCTGAGAAACCACTGGACCGGATAAGCTGAAACTTCACATGCTTGTGCCCACAAATCACTGCCAATAATGACACCTGAATTTGTTCAAGAGGTTCCAATCCGATTTTCAATATGGACCCAACAACAGCCATATTGAAAAATCTTTCTGTGGCCAGTACAGTGGTAGTAAAATTAGGTATTTGGTTGTTTTTTTTGTGGGATTCAACACATATGTTCTGATTTTGCACAAAAAAACCAACTTTGTCCATTTTTTGGCCATACTCTTAGTCTTAAATTCTCTCAGAATGCAGCCTTGGCTCATGACACTTATCCTCGGAGGGAGCAGAACTTTGGCATGTATCATTGTATGTTTCATATTTTCTTCGAATCATTTGATTTTAGTGTTAGTATTTTGTGCTTGGTATTTATGAAGATATTGATATGATTCTATTGACTACAGGTGAGATACTGCGCCATGGAACTATTTTTGTATACATGTTATAACTGACGTTTCAAAACTTCTTTAAAGCTTACACAGGGCCTCTGTCGTCTAAGGCGCAGTTGTGTCCCTTTGGCCTATGATCATGGGTTCTTTTCCCAGTTCGCTGTGATTATGTTTCTAGTTTTGTCAGCACCATATTTTCACTCGTGGGTTTCATCAAAGTGATTAACATGTGGGACCTGGATCACTTCAAGCCTTCCTCCCAAATTAAGTTAACCCAACCTGAGATAACTGGAATATTGTTAAGAGCAGCTTAAATCCAACTCACTCACGTCAATAGTGAATAGACATATGCTATTGATAGTTATGCCAGAAAACAACAAACAGAGAATACCTGAGGTTGTTAAATTGTGGAAGTGGGAGGTTCCTTGATAGCTCACTAATCCTGCTAATGCAATAACATTGGAGTCGCCAGATAAAATACTGTAGCAAGGACTCAATGATCTATCTTTACATGCTTCATGCCAATAATTGGTAATATGACAAATACCGCAAACAAAACAATTGCAAAACTGCATTCAAAGCCCTTTTTGTTTTTGTTTACAGGCAAACAACCAGTGGATCGACACTTGAGTCGCGATGATATCACAAATCAAGGCCGCTATCTGCTCAATACCTTCATCCATGAGCGTATGCGTCAGGATGGTATACAGCAAGCACCTGCCCTGGATGAACTACAGGAACCGGGCACTCCTTGTGGTAAGTGGATTTGTCCTCCAAAATAGGAAATATACAAAAAGACATTTTTATGATAGTGGGACCAGCTTTTGCCCAGTAGAGGACATAACGTGTACGCGAGATGGGTCTCGCGTACAAGTGACCACCTGAGAGGGGTCATTCGTATGCGTGACGGTCTGTCAGTGGACCATGGATTTCTGCATGTTGCACACAAATGTCTCTACAAGTGTTATTTGTGAAAATAATAAAACAAAATTACGTAGAGTCATTGATCACCATCCTAGTTATCGTATGACATGAAAAAAATGTCATAAGAAAAATAATAAACTGTCAATTTGGGAGAAAAATGTGCAAAAATTGAGCAAAATGTTCTGTTTTTCACAGCGATTTTCTCCTATGTACATATTTTTCAGAAACTAACATGTAGTATTTTCAAAAAGCTTATTCATTGTAGAGTTAAAAAATATATGAATTATTTCACGCACACCAACTCACACCCATTTGCCATCGAGTTGAAATAGGGATAAAATGTATCTTTAGCTCACCTGACTGAATGTCATGTCAGCTTGTGTCACGGCCGGTTTGTCTGGCATTCATCTGGCGCTAGCATCTTCTCAGAAACTACTTAACCAATGAAGCTGAAACTTCACATTCTTGTTCCCACCAATGATGATACACCAATGTGTTCAAGAAGTTAAATATGGGGAAAAAATCTTGATGGCCATAACTCTGCCATTTATGTTCAAAATGTAATAGGGGTGGTCGGGTAGCCTAGTGGTTAAAGCGTTCGCTCGTCATGCTGAAGACCTTGGTTCAATTCCTAGGATGGGTACAATGTGTGAAGCCCATTTCTTGTGTCCCCAGCCGTGATATTGCTGGAATATTGCTCAAAGTTCTGATGTTTTGTTCAAATACTATACTACTACTATAAGTATATAGAAAACACCGATGATTGCTATTGGGGGAACACTTCTGTCATCTCACATCTCACAAGCTGATGTTTTCCCTGAAACAACACACTATACTCCAAAGTGACACATGGGTTTTTGAGTAAGTAATAACACAAACAGAGACAGGATCAACTCATTCGTGTCAGCTCTCGATCACTCGTGTTGGCTTATGACTTAGTGGCCAAGAACAAAGATCTGTCTTACATGGGAGGCTCTTTTCTGGACATGGTTACAAGCTTCAGTGACCATGACTATATCAAAGTTGTTGACATCTGTCAGTGAGTAGAATTCAGCGTTCCTGCTACAGTGTTTGTATTGTTATGGGCTTCTGTATGTTATGTCATTCTTGAACTGATTGAATAAAGACTCATGTGTGAGTAATGTTGCAGGCATCAAGAAAATTAGTAATCACAAACAGAGTTAAGTGAATTAAGATCGCAAAAAGCATAATAAAAATGCAGCATTATATTAATGGGAGCTACTAAGGGTCGTATTATTTGTGTCAATTTCATGCTCACATTAATTTCATGAATATCAGTAGTTAGTCATGTTATATGTGTCGCTCAACCATGTCAACACTATTTTCTGTTTTGGGGGGATATTTTGCGTTTTGACTTTGGCTTGACCTTTGCACTTTTACTGTGCTTAATACTCTCCAGCGGTAGAAACTAACTGTTTTAGTCCACTAGTCCTTATAATGATAACATCTTGCAAACCCCTTAAAAATGGCAAATTGGCAAGGACTACAGGAATAGTGCCAATTTCTAACGCTGTTCTCCGAATGCATTTCCTCTCAATGTAGGGGTGGTCAGGTAGTCTAGTGGTTAAAGCGTTCGCTCGTCACGCTGAAGACCCGGGTTTGATTCCCGACATTGGCACAATGTATGAAGCCCATTTCTGGTGTCCCCCGCCGTGATATTGCTTGAATATTGCTAAGAGCGGCGTAAACCCTCACTCACTCACTCACTCACTCACTCACTCACTCACTCACTCACTCACTCACTCACTCACTCACTCACTCACTCACTCACTCCTTTCAATGTAACTCCTTTCAATGTAACTCCTTTCAATGTAAACATTATCTCTTCAGAAATCACTGGATCAATGCTATGATTAATAGTATTTATGCAGAAATGTTTTTATAATCAATGGTAACAGCAACTTTTATTATTCATTGTGAGTCTTTGTTTTTTAAACGGTTGATTACAAAACCAGGTGAGCTACAGTATTGGTAATTTTTCAATGTCAACACTTTATTGATACAAATGTATGAATCCTGGTCATTGCAGATGTCACAAATGATATGTTGATGCTAAGTTTCCAGTCAATGACACCCCCACCATGAGGCACACTACCTGGCCATTATTGTGTAACTAGGGCGGTCGGGTAGCCCAGTGGTTAAAGTGTTCGCTCATCACGCCGAAGACCCGGGTTCGATTCCCGACATGGGTACAATGTGTGAAGCCCATTTCTGGTGTCCCCCGCCGTGATATTGCTGGAATATTGCTAAAAGCGGCGTCAAACCATACTCAGTCAGTCAGTTATTGTGTAACTGTGCCTTGTGTTCTCTCATGTTAGGAGTTTCAGACCCTGATATGTATTTGCTGGGAATGTGATGGTCAGTTATGAGCTGTATAAACAGACTGAAATGAAACATAGTGCTTGTATTGTTTCCACAGGCCCACCTATGCAACACACGACAGAGATAGCCCGGGCCTTGCGATGTATAGGCGACCAGTTGGATGGAGACGTTAGGCTACAGAAGTGAGATTTGCACCTTGTCTGAATCTTTTGGGGATTTCTTACATCACCAATGTGGCTTATTTGAAACCATTTACATAGCAATAAACAGATATTGATGTGAAGTAATATGGCTGATAGTAATGTATACCTTACTCTAATGGATTGAGGATGGTGTAGATTTCTGTCTTGAATGTGGTTGAAATAATGAATATTCCGTAGGTTAAAAGAAGACAATTATGTGTTCTTTGGCCAATCCTATACAGCTCTGTTCCATTTCTGTACAACTCCATTAAGAAATTTTCATCGTGACGATATAATCACCACAGAACACAAATTGTGACATTGATAATATAATCTTTTGGGTGTATATGCTTTGGGTGTTTCTCAGAAACGACAGCTATTCTTTTGCAATTGGAACTCGATTATTTTGTTTTGGGGATACAGATTAAAATATTTAGTCCGATACGATATGATACCCCTTTGCATTATAATCTTAGGACACCTCCATAGAAGGTCTCATTTATTTACCACCACCATTTTGAAATTTTGATTTGTACAAATGAAAACTCACACGGAACACGAACATTCGATGCTACTTACTTTTGGGTGTAGATTTCAAAATGGAGCTCCCCTATTAATCTACATTCATAACTTATCGTTATCAATTGTTTCCTGAGCATAGGTGGATCTAGGGGGGTCCAGATTTGCTCGTCGGAATGCTACACTCACTCACACTGAGAACGTAGCGACCTTGACACTGATGGGCTCAGTGTACCTGATGTAACCTTCAATTGAGGTGTCCTCACATAGAGAGTAATGGTATCAGAGGGAAAGATTTGATTGTATTGAGATGAAGGTGAATCATTATAGGAAGCCCACAATGTTTTATCGATCAGACTTTTACAAGACTGAAGATGTTATAGACTCATGAGTCCCACTCCTATTCTTCTCCAGCCTGATCAGCCAGGTCCCGCCGGACGCTCAGCGGAGCACATTTCTCAACGTAGCCCAGTCTATATTCAGCGATGGAGTGTTCAACTGGGGCAGGGTGGTGGCCCTCTTTTACTTTGCTTACAAGATGGCACTGAAGGTAGGACATGTGTCATTTTCTGCTTCCAGAGTTTCATGATTTCACACAGTTCTTATTGTTCAAGGTGTAACTGCTGGGTTCTTGCCCTGGTATTCAAATTCTGGGGTTTGTATCATGGACTAGTGGAACCTGCATCAAATAACCAGATGACCCCAAGTATGATTCTAGTCTGTCAGCACCACACACATACTGACAGCTTCACACAGAATGGAAAAGGCCTTAAATTTTGTAATTTGGCCTTTGGAAGACCTTGAGTTTGACAGTTTGGCCTTGAAAAGGCCTTGAATTTTGCAGTTTGGCCTTGAAAGGCTTTGAATTTGGCAATCTGGCATTAAAAGGCCTTGAATCTGTCAGTCCGGCCTCAAAAGGCCTTGAATTTGGCCGTCCGGCCTGGAAAAGGCTTTAAATTTGGCAGTCTGGCCTTAAAAAGACCTTGTGTTTGGCAGGCCGGCTTTAAAAGGCCTTGGATTTGGCAGTCCCGCCTGGAAAAGGCTTTAAATTTGGCACTCCGGCTCTGAAAAAACCTTGAATTTGAAGACCATAAAATGGCCTGAATAGTCTTTGTCATCTTCAAACCTTGTAAACCCTGCTGATAAATAAATATGTTACAGTTATGTCGGTCAAAGGAAGCTACAGCTAATGCTTGTTGTTGTGTTCCCCCAGGCCTTGGATAAGATACCTCTAGTCCGAGCTATCATCAACCTAGTGATAGACTTCCTGAGAGACAAAGTGGCACAGTGGATTATAGACAGAGGTGGCTGGGTAGGTATACAAGTAGCCAGGCTTACTGTAATCATTATTGATGAACATCTTTATAGTGGAACGTAGATGCTATATACATTCATTATAATGCCCCGGCACGAAGTGGGGCGGGGGATATAGCAACAGAGTTTGTCTTTATTTCTGCTTCTCAAAGGGGACAAACTTTCTCAAAAACTGTTTAAGTGAGAGAAATGAAATTTTACACACTGATCTTACTGGTCACGATCTCAAATTAGTTTGTAAATTGGTGTCTTAAATTCATTTTTTACAGAGTTATGGCCCTTGTTCCATGCTTTTCAACTTAGTGCATACTGTGTGCAATGGGTATTTTTTAGAAACTACTGAAGTTAGATGACTAAATGTTTGCATGCTTATCTCAGAGATACTTGTCAAGACTATGTTCGAAAATTGGAGTCATAATTTAATTTTACAGAATTACAGCCCTTGAACCATGTTACTTTGCTTAGTGCATAGTGGGTGCAATGGGGACAAGTTCTCTCAGAAACCACTGAAGTTACATGAGTGAAACTTTGCAAGCTCATCTCAGAGATACTTGTCAAGACTATGTTCGAAAATTGGAGTAAAGGCTGAGTTCGAGAATTGGTGTTGTAAATGATTTCTTTTACAGAGTTTGCCCCATGCTTTGCCCCATGCTTTGCAACTTAGTGCTTAGTAGGTGCAACGGGGACAACTTTTCTCAGGAACTACTAATGTTACATGAATGAAAGTTTGCATGCTTATCTAAGAAATACTGATCAAGACTAATTTCGAATTGGTGCCATAAATTATTTTTTTAAATAATAATAATAAGTCCATTTATACTGCGTCAGATTCCATTCACCAAGTTAATGCTCATGGCGCTACATAGTTTTAGCAGATAATGCTAATGAAGGAGTAGAGTTGATAGTGTTGTCTGTGAAGGTGTGTTTTCAGATGAGCCTTAAAGGATGAAAGCGATGGCGACTGCTTAAGATCAGATCGTAGTTTGTTCCATAGAGTTACCTCCCTTGCTACATGTTTTTATATTTTGAACATACGCAGTTACAGCCCTTGATCCATATTATTTTTACGACGTGCATAGTGTCTACAATGGGGATTAGTTTTCTCAGAAACTACTGAAGTTAGCTTATCTTAGAGATACTTATCAAGACTGAGTTTGAGATTTGGTGCCATAATTTTTTCTTTTCATCATTATCATTTCAATAAGTGCAACAACTTTTCACATTTTAGATCATTACAACAAATGAAAGCCACAAGAATGACCATATCTTTGATATTTCCTCTTCTTCATTTGCAGGAAGCCATTGTGGAATACTTCGGGACACCCAGCAAACAGGTTTTGCTTGTCCTTGGCGCCGGCGTGGTCATAAGTGGAGCCATCTACCTCTGGAAGGGCTGGCATTGATAGTTTCTGGCATTTTAGGTTTTTATTCAATTGCTGACTTAACTGTGTCCGACTGATTCCGTGTTTGTGTTTCCGTGACAGGTAGCTGTGGAATGTAGCCAGTCAATGGGAGTTTGTGTGTCTCCATGGTAACGATAAAGAGAAATCGAGTGTGTTGTCCTATTCATGAGAATTTTCAACAAATCTTGCATAATTGGATCCTCTTGTATTCTTATGTCTTTATTTGTTGTATTTATTTCAAGTTCCAGAATTGTTTTATTTGTAATGTTTAGAAGAATTGATGAAGATAAACATAGCGAGGGTCACATTACAATGAAGCTTCAGAACATTTAGTATGACATGAGCTGAGGGGGCACAGGTCGTCTAAAATGGTGTCATTCACTGTGTGTCCGTAGGAGTGCCAGAAACCTATGGTCGTGGGTTCGAATTCCAGATACGAATTATGATTCTAGGTTTGTCAGCACCATACCTGAGCTTGTGATTTTCACCCAAGTGGTAAACATCAAAGACCTGCATCACTTCGGGATTTCCTCCCACATGAAGCTGAAAATGAAGTAACTGAGATACAGCATCAAACCCAACTCACTCACTCACTCACTCACCGTAATAATAGTACGCCACTCATACGGTTCACGCTGTGTATACTCCAAGCAAGATATAATACCCAGGTCAACAGTTTGGAGCGAATTCTGAACTCCCTGATCTGACAAGTCAGTTGATATTCAGTATCTTGCCCTTTTATGGTTAAAACCTGTGGCAGTAATTATGTAGATTACGGTAGCACTTTGGTAATGATGCTATGACCACCAAGAATGTGGTATCCTAGATTAATAGACTTGGTGTTTGTAGCCTGTGATATTGTTTTGTGACCAAAGCTTGGCTGTCCTCACATGTTGTGATCAAATATGTGTTAAAATTTCTGTTGATAAATTTAGGTCAGTTTGTTGACAATGACTAGATGTGGACAGATTACATTGGTCATCTTGCTCATCCTATCCTTGTCAATTTTGAAAGGCCAATTATGCAGGATTTTGTAGACAATTATTCCCGTAGAGTATGATTCTCCCGATGCTGAGTGGACGAGTGTTGACACCCTGTGTTCAGTGCTTTTTGTTGAGATCTGCTTCATGGTCAGCCTCAGGCAACTCCACCATCATCAACATCAACACCAATGCCATTACAAACAGGGTTAGACCAACCGTTGGCAGAGATGCCAGCCATCCCTTTTGGCAGAATCAGTATGATATTTTGAACCAATTTGCGCCAGTATTATTAAGTGAAATATGTTACGCATTTGGCCCAAAATTAATTACCAGTATTTTAAAATAGAAACCTGTTGACCTTTCCACAGGCATTCTATCATACACAACAAACCAATAATCACTGATTTCACCTTGTGCAGTGAATGTTTGGGTGATTAAAGGGGAAGTGTACACGCAAAAATCCCTTTCTTTCTTTTTCTAAACAAAACGCAATTTTAGAATTAGTTAGTATCTGTGTTTAAAAATATAAACTCATTTTTTTCAAAGTGAAAGTAGGAAGCTCACAATAGTGTGAAAATGCTATGCCATTATGAAGCCTTTGTTTTTCGAGCTAAACAGGCCTGAGTTATCCCCCTTAGATTATGACGTAATTGGTGCCAATTCAACTGGGTCCCTGTCTATTCTCAACGCAAAAGATATCAAGTACCAGTTTGCGGTAAAACAACATGGCCTACGACACACTCCGGCGCAGTGGTGACTCAGCATAACACTATGCTGGCTGGCATCTGAGACGCTAGAATCACACACCTGTACCTACACCACGTGAAGCGGCTCTAACAAAGCATGATGACGTCATAATGTTTATCAATTGGCACCAATGACGTCAAATTGCAAGGGGCATAAGCCATGGTGTTTTTGTTCTGGAAATAGAACACTTGGTAAATGTGAAAAATATAAATCGTTTTAATGCAAAAAATAAGTTAATTAATTTTGTCTATGACACTACTAGGTTAACATCTTCAGTGTGGAAAAGAGTACAAGAAAATTAGGTTATTTTTCCGTGTGAACTTGCCCTTTAAAAAACATGTAAAAAAATACATTTTAATTTTATCAAAACTGTTTAATCATGCAAACTAACGAAAACTTCAAGTTTATTTTTAAATTACATTTTATTGATGCCTTTACTGGTATCCCAGATGTTCCATACTGCCAATTTCGGGTTGGCATCTTTGTCCTAGTCCAAGACTAGTGAATTCCTGAGACTAGTGAATTCCTGAGACTAGTGAAGCCCCGAGACTAGTGAAGCCAAGAGACTAGTGAATTCCTGAGACTAGTGAAGCCCAGAGACCAGTGAAGCCCCGAGACTAGTGAAACCCCGAGACTAGTAAAGCCAAGAGACTAGTGAATACCTGAGACTAGTGAAGCCCAGAGACTAGTGAATTCCTGAGACCAGTGAAGCCCCGAGACTAGTGAAGCCCAGAGACTAGTGAATTCCTGAGACCAGTTGTGTCCTACCAGTTCCATCATGTACATAAGCCACCATAATGAACTGTGAACTAGTTGGACTGAGTTCATGATGTCTAACCCTGACATTGCATCTTCATCATCATCTTCATCTTCATACTGAACACAGGGATTTATTTATTTCTGACAATACTCTTGTTTCCTCATGTACGCAGACTGTTCTGGTCTTGTGGGTGTTCAGTGTGGTACTGGATTGAAGAAGTGTGAATTTACCCATGGCAATAGCTGAACACATGCTTACCACAGATGTGTCTGTGAGAGCGTCCTCGACATCTCCAGGGCTCACATGTTGGTAAACTTATGGTCAGCAGAAACAGCAGCATGGTAATAGGCAGGCAAAGAACACTAATCATTTACAACAGTTTTATTTTGGTTTAAAGCAACAATTACTATCGTACTTTAATTCACATTTACAAAACTTTCTGAATTCCCGAATTTCCCAATGTTGTGTATCCTATGTCTAAAGACAAACTGAAATTACAACGACACATTGTGGTCGACACGTGGCAATTGCATGTTTTTTATGCTTTTAGATCTATATCCGTGAAGTTAAGCAGTGTGTGTGCGAACAGAAACGAACAGAACGAAATGTTCGGAAACATAGCATACTTCAGAAAAATGAGAGAAACTAGCATACATACAACCTGTGATGACAATATCCTTTTGTCCACTCACATTAAACCCAGGACCCATATCTGTGGTTCTCAAATTACCCGGCCCAGTCGTCTAAGGCGCCGCGATTCGCTGTGCAGAGTTGCCTCCCTTGGGCACGCCAGAAACCTATGATTGTGGGTTGGAATCCTGGTTCACCCCTATTATGTTTCTAGGTTTGTCAGCACCATACCCGTGCTCGTCGGTTTCACCGAAGTGGCAAACTTCTGAGACCTGCATCACTTCGGTCTTTCCTCCCACATTAAGCTGACACGCCGTGATATAACTGGAATAATGTTAAAAGCAACGTTAAGCCCAACTCACTCAACTCACTCAAATTACCCACCCTTGATTTTCATTAGCCAATTTGATTTGCTATGCTACTCAGTCTAACAGACCAATCAGAACGCAAGTAACAAACCAGCTTCAGTGTTGGGTAGGCGATATCAACAACATGATTACGATAGAGATTTTAGAAATTCAACATTGAAAACCTGACTGACACACAAAGAAAGCTCTCAAAAATCCTTTTGATGGAAAGGTTGTCTTCATAGCCTTTAAAACTGGCGGTGGAAAGTCCTTCCTTGACCCATTTTTCTTATCTCAACGTTTGTTGGTCGGTAAAGTCTTAATGAACATCAAGGGCAGGTAATTTGACATCGCGACAACCACGGGAGTGGATGCAGAGGTTTGTAAGTTTACTGAAATGCGAGCCCTAGAGATGTGGATGGTGGTAGTGGTGGTGGTGTTTGAAGTGATGGTTTCCTTAAGATGGAGTAGGAAGACTGGCCGATTGACTTCCTGGGGTTGTTGAACGCTGAATCATGTCATTAACAGGTTACATCCATCCCATTGTGAAAAAGACTTCATTCAAACGTGTGTTTGTGAAATTTCTCCTGCTGTTTGACTTTATACACAAACTTACAGTGTATGGCAGCTCATTCCAAGAATGTCAATTTTCCATTTCCACAGAAGCAAGGCTCAGAATGAAGGGCTTAAGTCAATGTACATGGACGTATATGACAAACATGGATGTATTTGATGAACATTGACATATCTGATGAACAGTATTTGAGGAATGTGGACATGTTCAGTGAATGTGGATGTATTCTTGGAACATGCTCATAGGTCATGAATACAGACTACCGTATTCGACGTAATAAGCGCCCAGGGCTAGGGGGCTCTTATTAGAGTTAAAAGATAAATTTCGTGGTTTATGCTGACAGTCTTAAATGTTTATGTACGACAGATACATTTTTCCAGAATTTATTTGCCCATAATTAAGGGTGCATATAACTCACGAGTGCGTATTATACGCGAATAAATAAGTCTTGTGTACATTGATCAATCGGAAGGGGTGCTAATTCGGTTTGTTCACAAGCCAATATATTAGCAAATATCGCCGTGAGTGCTTATTAGAGCGGGGCGCTTATTACGTCGAATATGATCACTGAACATGGACAAGAAACAGACCTCCAGCTTGGTAACCATGGTAATGCATAAACATGTGAGGGGACGTTAGTGTTTAATTGCTGTATGCAAGGGTCATGCTAATATTTACGCATTCATTTTGCTCAGGATTATTTTTTTATGTTGTTTTGGACATAGTGTTTCTTCACAAGAGAGCTAGCGACTCAAGTTAATAGTACTGTTTCAGGCAACCCTTCATTTTACTCATATTTCATAATAACGTGTAGCATAATTCTTCTGTAGATGGATTCCCTGTTTTTGTGACTCTGAACCCTTGTTCTCTTGAAGTTCTGTAACCATGGTAATGAATTGTGTTGATTATATTATATCTTTTGTAATAGCGACCCTCCAGTGATTGTAAAACGTCAGAAAGTGCTTTAAGTTTCATTTCAGTTGATGTTGTGTGAGAAACATGTATAATCATTGGTTCATACTTTGACATCTTCTAGAGACTCAGTAGATGCGGGGGGGGGGGGGGGGGGCAGTCGTCTAAGGCGCCGCGATTCGCTGTGCAGAGTTGCATCCCTTGGCCACGCAAGAAACCTATGATTGTGAGTTCGAATCCCGGTTCGCCCCGATTATGTTTCAAGGTTTGTCAGCACCATACCCATGCTCGTGGGTTTCACCGAAGTGGTAAATGTCTGAGACCTACATCACTTCGGGCTTTCCTCCCTCACTAAGCTGACACACCGTGATATAACTGGAATAATGTTAAAAGCGGCGTTAAACCCAACTCACTCACTCAGTAGATGCCTGTGTTTGTTTTCTACTTAAATGAGATAATGTTTACATGTAGCTCTGTGTAATATGTGTAACAGGGTTGGTGAATATGCAGCCTCATGATCAAGCTGACATCCACCATCACAAGAGAAATTTCTTTGGTGTGCTTCATCAAAATGTCAGTAGATATATCCTTGATTCTAAACATCGATAGAGATGTCAGAGTCACAATGTCAGAAGGAGATCCTTGATTCACAATGACAGTAGATATCTTTTGATTCTAAACATCGGTAGATATGTCAGATTCACAATGTCAGATATAGTTGATTCTAGACATCAGTAGAGATATCCCCATTTCACAATGTCAGATATTGATTCTAAAATATCAGACGTGTCAGTCTGTGTGTATTAGCTTCAGTCCTGCTGTGTGTTTGTTGTGTTGCAACTAGAGCTGGGACGGGTAACTCCAGTACTCGGGTCGGGTGGGTCCTGAGTAGGACCCGGGTACCCACATGACTACCCAGACCCGTGGTTAGTCACGTGACATATGGTTTAATGACATTAACAATAAAACTCAATGCTTACACTACAGGTATAGCTAATGTTCACATTTCTTTCTCACTATGCAAGCATTCGTTCTGCATTTTATATGTTCAAGTAAGGATAAAGCATCTATCAACTGCAGATTATACATGATCAGATTGTTTTATACATGTATCTATATAGTTTTGGCCAGGGCTGCAGTAAAGCAATTCCCATTCAGACATTTTGTACCCAACTCTTGAGACCTATAGCGGGTATCAGGGTAGGGCCGGGTAGTAGGGTGGCGGGTACCCGGGTAGTAAATTTGGACTCGTCCAAGACCTAGTTGCTACATATTGAACATATGTGTTTCTTAAAATCAAAATTTGTTGATGTTAGTAAGTGCAATATATCGCCTGCATTGTGTGTTATCAGTACCGCCACAGGGATGTTCATCAATATTAATTTTATTGTTATCCATGTAACCTTTGTTTTTATATGATAAAGCTTTGATTTTTGTTAACAGGACGTCCCAATGTATGTGGCATTATAATAGATGGTAATGTGTAGTTCTTCCAACGGAAAGGAAAGAATGGATTCTTATTCAAGGGACATAACTCTTGTGTGACAAAACTCCTCACACCAAACAAAGATATTTGTAGTATGTAGAAAGTAATGTACAAGTACTGCCAGGAGTTTGTACAGGGTGTTTTTTTTATCAAATGCGTGTTGTCAAGAGAGACAATTATTCAAACTTCGTCTCTTGTGATCACATGATTGTCATATTGTTGGGGTAGCTAGTCTCATTCTGTTTTTGATAATATATACACCTTGAACAGGTTAAGCACCAGTCCTTTTACAGTGTATATTAGGAAGAGAATTTATGGATGTCAGTTTCTTTATTATGAGGAACACAATGTTTTGGAGTATATACTTGCTCCTCCATCAGGTGAATAAATGCTATGAGGCAGAGAACATGTATATAGACTTGTAAGCACCTGTCTATGTTCTTGTATACCAAGGAGTGGCAGGGTAGTCTGGTGGTTAAAGCATTTGCTCGTCACGCCAAAGACCGGGTTCGATTCCAGACATGGGTACAATGTGTGAAGCCCATTTCTGGTCTGCCCTGCCGTGATATTGCTGGAACATTGCTAATTGCGGCGTGAAACCAAACTCACTCACTCATGTATTCCAAACTTCCATGTGACTTTTAGAAATATCTACATATATAACATTGACATTATTTTGAAACCACCATACCTGATGACAAGTTGACAAAAACACACTGTAAGATTCTCCAGACACACTTTGAAAACGCACATTTGAATATTCGTAATTTTTTAAAAATGGCCACAAAAATCAATTTGTGTGTATTTAGGCTTGAGATAGTCGAACACAACAATGTGGTCGTACATGTTCCAATTTAATTTAATTTGTGTTTTGAGATTGCTTGAGCACAGAAACACATCTTGTCACTTTGAGTTACCATGTATTGGGTGGTTTCATTGAGGGAGCATCTGAAAGGGGATAAGTTACAAAGGATGTTATTTTATAATCAATTTTGGTTTCTCTATTTCAATATACCGATGTCAATTTGTGAACAAAAATAATTGTTTCACCAGAAAATTACAGGATACAATTTTTGAAAATGGTTATTTTACAGTGGTGCTCATTCAAAAAATATATTGTCCAAGAAAATGCTGAAAAAAATAATTATGCTTCAAATTGTTTAAAAAAAGAAATTGTCACCCACAAAAATTACATTGTTGCAAGATATAATTTTAAAAGAAATAGTTAGACTCAAAGATTTGATTTAAGAAATATCTGGTTTTACAGATGCAATGTCCAGTCTAGATACATAATCCCAACCCCCACCAATATCAATGGTAGGTCCCTTAGACTAGGCTTGTAGCCAAACTGACGGTAGCATGACAGTGGGTGAAAACCCAGCAAGTCATTATATATTCCCTGCTTGAACATCACCATGGCAGCAAGGCCAGGGCTCTGTTCCACAAAGCGATCTAAGTGCCAAGTTTTTCATAACTCCCATTCTTTATCATAGGCTTACGACCATCTCAGCTCTAAGGTCGCTTTGTGGAACGGGACCCTGGACGTGTAGATTGGATCACTGACATATCTCCATGTATAGGGGGGCACGGGTGGCCCAGTCGTGTAAGGCGCCGCGATTCGCTGTGCAGAGTTGCGTCCCTTGGGCACCCCAGAAACCTATGATTGTGGGTTGGAATCCCGGTTCGCCCCGATTATGTTTCTAGGTTTGTCAGCACCATACCCATGCTCGTGGGTTTCACCGAAGTGGTAAACGTCTGAGACCTGCATCACTTCGGGCTTTCCTCCCACATTAAGCTGACACGCCGTGATATAACTGGAATACTGTTAAAAGCTGCGTTAAACCCAACTCACTCACTCAATCTCCATGTGTAACTGTTGTTGTAACACCTCACTGTAAAAGAAGCCCTGTGGACATTACAGGTAAGAACAGGTCCCCTATGCTGGTCAGCTAAATATATACAGTAGGGAGGCTCTGTGACCTGATTGATTGTGTGTCATCCTACCTGGACAGCATGGATCGTTGCTCATTATATCAGTCACTGGATCGTCTGTTATTTACAGGCTGCCATCATATAGCTGGAATATTGCGGAGTAAGTTGTAAAACCAAATACACATACAAGTGGGTCGTAGTGCATGGTGTTAGTATAGCATGACGCACAGTACCTCCATATATCTCCTTATATGATTGCTCTATCCTCAATAGCAACGAGATTTGTACCCAGGGAATTATCAATACCTTTTTATATATTCATTACCCAAGAAGTGTCTGTAGCCTTAAATTGCTGTATTTAAATGTTGAAGTTTTGCGTGTTATTATTTTCATTTAATGCATTTGTAGCAACACATGATCAACATAAGACAGCTGTGTTTATATGATTTTACAGATGACCTGCCTTGTTGATCTTATTGACTGGGGCATGGGGGCAATTTGCTGTAAGTTGCCTCCCTTAGTTTCACCATGATCTGCTGATTGCAGATTTATACTGATTATGATCCGTGGTTTGAAAGAATCAAGGACATGCTTGTGGCTTTTAAGTGGTAAATTCCCACAACCGCCCATCTTCCTGAGGCAAGAGAGGTAACTGACTATAAAAGTCCAGTTTCCACCCTTGCCGAACTAGGCTGGTATTATGGAGTTACATTTTGGCTGGGCTCACGAGTCTATGCATAGTCCAATCACAATCGCGCTACGAAATTGAAATCCGGTTCGTAAACTGTTGTGCAGATTTCGGTCGATTGCAGGATTTGCAAAGCATGTGCACCACCAACTTGTTGTTAACAGATATTTTCCAAATCTTGTCATGTTTTTAATCAAGGTGCTCATGTGATTTGATACATTTTGCGATGTAAGACTCGTTTTATCACAATATAGACCTTGATTATCGCCACTGTTTTGTTTGGAGCAAATGCAAGTGATATGAGAGGTGGAATCTGATTGGTCTATAGGAAAGGCTTAGAAGGGACATAACTCGTAATAGCCACTGGTGGCGCTATGATAGAGTCCAGGAATTCCAGCCTTGTTCGGCAAGGGTGGAAACTGGACTTTTAAAGTCTGTTAACTCTCTTGCCTCGGGAAGATGACAACCACCATCTCTTTAAGCTTCCTCCCACTTTAATCCAACATGTAGTGATATAACTGAAATAATATTCAAAGCAGCTAAAAACCCAAGTTACTGTAAACGGGGAACACAGATGGCGCTGGTGCTTTACCCTGGAGCTGATGTCACCACGTGTACCCCCTGAACTTCTTTGTAACTCTTCAATGATAAGAGAATCCCAAATATGCTACTCAAAGGAAGTTAAGCAACACCTGGATGCTCTTTAACTTCTTTTGAGTAGTATATATGTTTTTCTGATTGTTTGGTTCACTGCAACTTACTATTTATGACACTTGGGGAATAAAACATTCACTTTGAGAACAGTTCTTTGTTCCTCCACCAAGTCGGTGGCATAGATTGCCCAGTTACCTAAGGCACCGCAATTTGGCACACTAGAAACCTTTGATCGTGGGTTTGAATCCTGGTTCGCCTCGATTATGTTTCTAGGTTTGTCAGCACCATTCTGGTGCTTGTGGGTTTCACCAAAGTGGTAAACATCTCAGACCTGCATCACTTCGGGCTTTCCTCCCTCATAAAACTGACATGCCATGATAAAACTGAAATACTGTTCAAAGCGGCAGTAAACCCAACTCACTCACTCACTCACCCTTCCCCTCTGTCTGAAAAAGCACAAGACAGATCAGTAGGGTAAATTGCCCTTTGATTTGTCCATGAAAACAACTTAATTGGTTTTTTTCTACACTAACAATGTCTTCAAGCGATACTTTTCTCGTTTGAAACAAATGTTCCAAAAATTGTATTCTGATTCATTTTGTCCACCTACCCAATTGTTTTCTTAATGGTTCGTAACCTAAGTCAAAACAATGGAAGACCTTGCAGGCTGTAATGATACAGCTGTAATGTGGCTGAATGACAAAAAACATTTCTCACTTTGAGGGAGACATTAGATATAGCATTAGCACCAGTGAAGGCAACATTCCTTGCTTCAAAACCTGTTTGCAGAAGAAAATATCTGTTCTGAGTAACTTCTTGCTTATATTCATATACACCAATTTGGTGGTGTTTGTTACTTAATGTTTGTTTAAGGATGCAATATTATCCTTACACTTAATAGGGTTATTCTTATCTCATATCTGATTAGACCTATCAAAGTGGAGTGGTATATTTGGTGGAAATTGAAACCTGACTTGTTTATCTCTGTGTGGAGATGTTTTGCTGGAACCTTCATAGTGTAGTTCCTACTTGAAGACTGATACTGTTTGGGCCCACGTGCACAAAGGGGTCGCACTGTTGTAAGTGTATGTTAAAGTGTTGGACTTATGATAGTCGTACATTTGCTTTGTCCAAGTGGGCCCCTGTCCTTGCAAGGGTTTGTAATCTTGTACATAAAACCATATCCTGTCAGATATTTGGAGTTTGAAATAAATATCCTTCCAAGTGATGCCTAGAGTCTGTTGTTGTTTTCATTTAATCACACATTATTTACTCCACTAAGACCTCATTGCAAATTCCTGTGAGTGATGGCAACAGTATCTGGATATGGTAGTAGCCTGGAACGTATTACAGGCAACTGTTTTTTAAATAGCCCATGTAAACTATGCGCATATTGCTTGAGGTGTTCTTCCTCTTCATATTATATATGAGACAAGTTCCTACAGATACACAGGACAAGTTCCTGCAGATACACAGGACATGTTCCTGCAGATAACCAGGACAAGTTCCTGCAGATACATTGGGCAAGTTCCTGCAGATACACAGGTCAAGTTCCTGCAGATATATTGGGCAAGTTCCTGCAGATACACAGGGCTAGTTCCTGCAGATACACAGGACAAGTTCCCTTCAGATAACCAGGACAAGTTCCTGCAGATATATTGGGCAAGTTCCTGCAGATATACAGGGCAAGTTCCTGCAGATATACAGGTCAGGTTCCTGCAGATAAACAGGTCAGGTTCCTGCATATACACAGGTCAGGTTCCTGCAGATATACAGGGCAAGTTCCTGCAGATAACCAGGACAAGTTCCTGCAGATGTACAGGTCAGGTTCCTGCAGATACACAGGTCAGGTTCCTGCAGATACACAGGGCAGGTTCCTGCAGATACACAGGGCAAATTCCTGCAGATACACAGGTCAAGTTCCTGCAGATACACAGGACAAGTTCCTGCAGATATACAGGGCAAGTTCCTGCAGATACACAGGACATGTTCCTGCAGATACACAGTACAAGTTTCTGCAGATACACAGGACAAGTTCCTGCAGATATACAGGTCAAGTTCCTGCAGATACACAGGTCAGGTTCCTGCAGATAACCAGGACAAGTTCCTGCAGATACACAGGACAAGCTCCTGCAGATACACAGGGCAAGTTCCTGCAGATACACAGGGCAAGTTCCTGCAGATACACAGGACAAGTTCCTGCAGATACACAGGACAAGTTCCTGCAGATATACAGGGCAAGTTCCTGCAGATACACAGGGCAAGTTCCTGCAGATACACAGGACAAGTTCCTGCAGATACACAGGACAAGTTCCTGCAGATACACAGGACAAGTTCCTGCAGATATACAGGGCAAGTTCCTGCAGATACACAGGACATGTTCCTGCAGATACACAGGACAAGTTTCTGCAGATACACAGGACAAGTTCCTGCAGATATACAGGTCAAGTTCCTGCAGATAATCAGGACAAGTTCCTGCAGATACACAGGACAAGTTCCTGCAGATATATTGGGCAAGTTCCTGCAGATACACAGGACAAGTTCCTGCAGATGCACAGGACAAGTTCCTGCAGATACACAGGTCAGGTTCCTGCAGATACACAGGTCAAGTTCCTGCAGATACACAGGGCAGGTTCCTGCAGTTACACAGGGCAAATTCCTGCAGATATACAGGTCAAGTTCCTGCAGATACACAGGGCAAGTTCCTGCAGATACACAGGACAAGTTCCTGCAGATACACAGAACAAGTTCCTGCAGATATACAGGGCAAGTTCCTGCAGATACACAGGTCAGGTTCCTGCAGATATATAGGTCAAGTTCCTGCAGATACACAGGACAAGTTCCTGCAGATACACAGGACATGTTCCTGCAGATACACAGGACATGTTCCTGCAGATACACAGGTCAAGTTCCTGCAGATACACAGGACATGTTCCTGCAGATACACAGGACAAGTGTCTGCAGATACACAGGACAAGTTCCTGCAGATACACAGGACATGTTCCTGCAGATACACAGGACATGTTCCTGCAGATACACAGGTCAAGTTCCTGCAGATACACAGGACATGTTCCTGCAGATACACAGGACAAGTGTCTGTAGATACACAGGACAAGTTCCTGCAGATATACAGGGCAAGTTCCTGCAGATACACAGGTCAGGTTCCTGCAGATAACCAGGACAAGTTCCTGCAGATACACAGGACATGTTCCTGCAGATATATTGGGCAAGTTCCTGCAGATACACAGGACAAGTTCCTGCAGATACACAGGACAAGTTCCTGCAGATACACAGGACAAGTTCCTGCAGATACACAGGTCAGGTTCCTGCAGATACACAGGTCAAGTTCCTGCAGATACACAGGTCAAGTTCCTGCAGATACACAGGGCTAGTTCCTACAGATACACAGGACAAGTTTCTGCAGATATATAGATCAAGTTCCTGCAGATAGACAGGGCAAGGTCCTACAGATACACAGGACAAGTTCCTGCAGATACACAGGACAAGTTCCTGCAGATATACAGGTCAGGTTCCTGCACATACACAGGACAAGTTCCTGCAGATAACCAGGACAAGTTCCTGCAGATACACAGGACAAGTTCCTGCAGATACACAGGACAAGTTCCTGCAGATAACCAGGACAAGTTCCTGCAGATACATTGGGCAAGTTCCTGCAGATATACAGGTCAAGTTCCTGCAGATACACAGAACAAGTTTCTGCAGATACACAGGACAAGGTCCTGAAGATAACCAGCACAAGTTCCTGCAGATAACCAGGACAAGCTCCTGCAGATATACAGGTCAGGTTCCTGCAGATACACAGGTCAAGTTCCTGCAGATACACAGGACAAGTTCCTGCAGATCCACAGGGCAAGTTCCTGCAAATACACAGGACAAGTTCCTGCAGATACACAGGGCAAGTTCCTACAGATACACAGGACAAGTTTCTGCAGATATATAGGTCAAGTTCCTGCAGATAGCCAGGACAAGATCCTGCAGATACACAAGGCAAGTTCTTGTAGATACACAGGACAATATTATTTTGCCAACTTCTAGAATGCCATTCAAACAGTTAAAGGATATCACAAGAAAATCGTGCATACAGGATGTTCTATATTTATTTTTGTGTGTGTGTGAGTTTAAGGATGAAATAGGTAAAGTCATTTTCAACTTGCGAACTTTTTTATTTCAGACGTGCACAAATAACCTTATTCTATGTTAAATAAAATCAGTATCGATACGAATATTTAATCATCTGGAAAGTGTCCAAAGGCTTTTACTTGTCATTGTGATTGTTCATTAGCCCGGGACATCATAGCTATCTTGGTCAGGCTCGCTGACTTGGTTGATGCATGTCATCGATCCCAATTGCGTGGATCGATGCTCATGTTGTCAATCACTGGATTGTCTGGTCCAGACTCGATTATTTACAGACCGCCGTCATATAGCTGAAATATTGCTGAGTGCGGCGTTAAACAACAAACAAACAAACAAACAAATCATAGCTATCTTACGCTGCAATATTGTGAACAATATTAGTTGAATCATTTCCCTGTGTAGCATTTAGACTATCAGTTGTCTGAGTTGAACATTCGTGTTTCTAAGGTTAAGCAGTGAACGTCTATGGTCCTAGCTTTGTTGACAATGTTGGTTACAGCTGTGTTTTAAACCGGATGGAGAGAACGTTGTAAAATGCGTCCCCGTAAATATCGCAACAATGCGAAATATTTGCGACGTACCGCAACTGCGACGTGGCTTATGCAACGCTTCCAGAAAGCAAAATCGGTATTGCCACGCGTCGCAAGATTGCGAGTGAATATAGTTTTACGCCGCTTTTAGCAATATCCCAGCAATATCACGGCGGGGGACACCAGAAATGGGCTTCACACATTGTACCCATGTCGGGTAACGGACCCGGGTCTTCGGCGTGACGAGCGAACGCTTTAACCACTAGGCTACCCCACCGCCCCGCAAGATTGCGATCATTGCTGGTTATTTACGCATATTATTTTATCACATTTTTGTTTTCCTTCGGCATCGTCCTTTCGAATTCTATATATAGTCTTCACTACGTGCTATATCTATCAATGCAGAAACAACAGCTTTACGATGCTCTCCTCCACTGATCAATTGTACACAACAATAACACGAGGCTACATCAACAATCACATAGTCAACATTTATCTTCAATAGCTGTTTAATTGTTTATCTTTAAAACTTATATGCCATTTAATAAAGAAAAGCGAAACTTAATTCAATTTAGGGATTTCCCAGAATAATAAATGACGTCACTGGGACAAAACATACACAATATATCGGGACTTTTACTTTCGTACGATAAACGAACTGATTTTGTTTCCTCGTCGACACTTTCTGAAACATCACGTATCATTTGGTTGCAGAACACCTATGTAAGTATATAACTTCATTCCTAGAGCCCGAAACAATTTGTGCAGTTATTTTGTCGGTAGTGTATAAAAAAAAACTGTATTACAGGGGGCATTTGTCCCGTCTTGTTACTGTTGACTGCCTACATCATACATTCGCGTGCTTGTTTCTGATTAAACATACTTCATAGGGTACAGGCAGGGTATGAAACTCCCAACATTTTCAGCCAGACCACAGGACTGGCTAGCTGAAATACTTGCCAGCCCTGACCAAAACCTGCCTGCCCACTATAATCATATGTTTCTCAGGATAATTTAATAAACTTTAAATCGAATTCATTGAACATGAAGTAATGCAAGAAAAGAAATAGCAAACACTTTTTAGGTCAGATTTGTATTTAATATCCTAGAATACATCATGTAAATAATGCTTATCATCGGGAAATATTTAGAATATTTTTACATATGAAATATAACCCGACCGTCGGGCAGGGGGATTTGAAAATCTGGCATGCAGCCCGAGTTGAAATCAACCCGTCTCGGACGGTCGGGCAGGCAGGTATTTCGAACACTGGTACAGGTATTCAAATATCGCACGTTTCTCGCTGTACAGATCTGAGAAGACTCTTTATAGGGAATATCCAGTGGAGCGTGTATGTTTTTTTTGTTATACCTTGTGTGTGTTTGCGCGTCTGCGCGTGCGTACATGTGCGCGTGTGTGCGTGCGGCGACGAGGGGAAGGTTGGTGCTACTAAACGTGGATGTTGTTATTGATGGTATTGACTTAAATACACATCTTTATTTTTTGCCTTAGGTGTGCTTGCGTGTGTGTGCGTGCGTGTGTACCTGTTAGTTTTTAAAACGTTCCTCGCTTATTCACAATGTCATGAAACACGTGGTACGGAAACCTTTACTGATCCTTTTATCTGTAACACAAAAAAAAACCCGTGCGGCAATGGAAAATCATAATAATGAAACCAAAAGTGGAAGTGCATTTGATTTTCAAACACAATGCTTCTTTATTCCACATTTGCACTAGTTTACGAAAATGAGTTCATGCGCATCACGTGACGCACTCTACACCACACACGGAAAATTGAAACGGATTTAATTGATAGCACTTGCCTGATCCATTCAAATAATTCAGACCACTTTTTTGGCGAGCGGTTATGTTTTGCGCATAGAGCAGTTTGACGAGTCACCGTTTGAGATCAACCAACTGACTTGCTGTTACGAACCCGAAAAAACCCAAAAGCGACCAAAACCTTTCCATTTTCATAAAGGAAATCTTTTTCATAAAGCAGGGTCCATTGTGCGACTCCGACTATATCACGAGCCTGTGTTTATGAATCACTGTCAGATAGTAATGATACCCCCAACGTTGGCGCCTGTCATAAACACAAGCAAAGGCACGTCAATTGTTCATATGAGAAAACACGGCTACATATAGTACAAGTCAATGCTATGAATTATTGCCCTTTAATAACACATAATGTGTATTCTTTCTCTGACAACTGTAAAAAAAAGAATCGCGATTATCAATTAACGGAAATAGCTACAGTAAAGACAAACAATTTGAAGGAGCGCTTTTTAAGAAAGATCTATTTTGCTAGAGATAAACATCATCACTGAGTTTTGATCACGTGATTACAGACAGACAGTAAGTTTATTCAGTTTGTAAGGTCATATGGCCGATAGTACAGTTCAGTTTTATCAGATACATATTAATACATAATACATATTCATATTACAAATTTAGTTACAATGTGGATTTTGTTTGACCAGAATGAAACTTCATAGGACTGTCAATTTACCAAACTCAGCACCCTTAACACGTTTTTCAACAATCAGGCTGGCACGGATGGCCCAGTCGTCTAAGGCGCCGCAATTAGCTGTGCAGAGTTGCGTCCCTTTTGCACGACAGAAACCTATGATTGTGGGTTCGCCCCGATTATGTTTCTAGGTTTGAAAGCACCATACCCGTGCTCGTGGGTTTCACCGAAGCGGTAAACGTCCATGACCTGCATCACTTCGGGCTTTTCTCCCACATTAAGATGACACGTCGTGATATTATTGGAATACTGTTCAAAGCGGCGTTAAACATAACTCACTCACTCAACAACTAGACTCCAGTACACACATGTATGATTTACAATTTTATACATTTCCTTGAAGCATCCTGTAAAATGGTCCCCCTGAATCGAAAAGACGTCATCAACCAGAGTCGATACCTATTGGCTTATTACCTCCATAGTCGTATGGTAGAAGATGGGATTCCTAACCCTCCGAGCGTGGACGATTTGCTGGATTCCCAGTATCCATGTGGTAAACATTAGCAGTTTTACTATTTATTACAAGGATGTGATTTGCTAAAACTGTCACCAATAGAATGTATAATTAACAGAACTATACAATATAATTGTTGCTTGATACAAATATTTAAGTAATTGTGCACACTTGAACGCATGTAAGGTATTTAATGTGATGTAGAACTCCGTCTTAACTCTCCCTTGGAGGAATTAAAAGCTTTATCATACATCCATGATTCTTATTGGTCCACGTGATCTTGATAAAATACTGTGTATCCCACCTTGGAGGGGAATTCATCTCTTATACCCCGCCACGAACAAGACAGGCTGCACGTGGATTTCTGAGAGCCAGAATAAATCCCTTACAACCCGCTTCAAAGCAAAAGGTCGCACGCTTTTTGCGAGTCACGTTACATAGCTCAAGCTGACCAGCTCAATCGAACAGCTGTTTTCTATCAATTTTGATTTAAAAAAATTCTTTTACAATGTCAAATTGAAACATGTCGGTGAGGTAAATTCGTTGTAGCAGGATCACTCGGGGTACATGGGTTTTTATGCATAAAACCCTATGTATCCCTCTTGATCATGCTACAACTTATAATACATATTGTATTAAATGAAGATCAATTTTAAGAAATAGTAACCAACCAGGTCACCGAGACTGACTATCCGATCCATTTTCTTATGGCCCTGTCACACTACATCGTTTTAGAGTCAGTACAGTTAGTACTGTCAAACGTCGAGCTTTCATCGAAAAACCATGATTTTGGCGTATCCATAACGTATACATGACGAGTTTACCGTGTATGTAACGCATGTCTAACGTATTAGGAGCGTATCACTGACTTATACAAAACTTATGACAGCGTATCAAAAAGCGTATTGCCGGCGTGTGTCTGGCGTGTTCAACGTATGGCCAGCGTATGCCCAGCGTATGAGTAACGTATGACTAGCGCCTTCAGCGAAGGGGACAAGTGCCCCAAACGGGCCCCGCGGTGGTATAACTAGTAGTGTACACCCATTCATCAAATTACTTCATTCAAGCAGTAGTCTTCGCCCTGTCAACATCATGCCTCCTAAGAAGAAACCTGCAAGGTTCTGGTAAAGTGTCAATTGGAGGATGTCATGCTGATGTTGGAGAATGGCTATTTCTTCTTGGTGCAGCCTCTCAGGATCCTTCACCTCCATCTTCTATGATGTCTCCATCAGAAGTGATGAGGAGGTTCTGACCGGGACCAAATATATTTGGTTGGTTGGTTTGTTGTTTAACGCCGCACTCAGCAATATTCCAGCTATATGACGGCGGTCTGTAAATATTCGAGTCTGGACCAGACAATCCAGTGATTAATATCATGAGCATCGATCCACGAAATTGGGATCGATGACATGCATCAAGCAAGTCAGCGAGCCTGACCACCCGATCCCGTAGGTCGCCTTTTACGACAAGCATAGTCGCCTTTAACGGCAAGCATGGGTTGCTGAAGACCTATTCTAACCCGGAACCCCCCAAACGCTGGTACTACGATACTAATACGCAAGCTAAACGTTAGAAACACGTTTAATAAGTTATTTTGTCGTCAGACATTCGTCGAATATCTCATATACTTTGGACATACGTTAGAAGTAGGTTACGCATACGTTATCAATACGTTAGATGTACAGTTTTATATTAGCGTATAGGTAACGTATATACGGCGTATGTAAACGTACGTAGAGCGTAGCTCTAACGTATGCCTAACGTATAATTCATACGTTCCCATACGCCGAAAATGTTGTGCATGCACAAAAATGTGTTTAAGAGTCGGCGTACCACAACGTATACCAGCATGCTTTTAACGTATACAACTTACACCTAACTTATCCATAGCGTGTTTCGGCGTTGCCGGCGTTGTGGCAAAAAATTCTCATACGTCGCCACACGTTACTGCTATACGTTGTGTGACAGGGCCATTACGACCGGCAAAGTTTACTGGGGAATCAGGACTCCTATATAGGGGGAATGATATATTGATGTGTTTAGTCTTCCCAGATTACCGTGTCGTGCATCCGTTTGTGGAGAGAGCTAAAGTGGTACAGACCGGACTGGATGAAGACCGACAAGTTCAAAAGTAAGGTTTCACAATAATTGTATCGATATAAACTGCCAGGCAAAGAAAGTATACACCCATTGGTATTCGACGGTGATGTATTTTATACCCTTGTCATAGCGATGTTGTCTATTGTTTTCAGCTGAGTGACGTTTTAATAACGCTCGCCCTTTTTTGGTCAAAACCAGTTTTCAAGTGTATACTTTCTTTTGTCCGGCAGATTAGCAGCTTATATGGTGATGTTTTGTCCAGCAAAACTGGATACTGATTTTGAGGAGTATATATTATAACCCCACATTGCGGCCCAGTAGTCTTATATACCGCAACAGCTTACCGTGGACGTGGGACGGTGGGGTAGCCTAGTGGTTAAAACGTTCGCTCGTCACGCCGAAGATCTGGGTTCGATTCCCCACATGCGTACAGTGTGTGAAGCCCATTTCTGTTGTAAGCCGCCGTTATATTGCTGGAATGTTGCTAAAAGCGGCGTAAAACAACACTCACTTACTCACTACTGTGGACGTTTGTTTGTTGTTGAACCCCGCAAACATCAAGAGTCCAGCTATATCACTTACTTTAAGGTTGGAGAACAGCGGCGTTAAATCCAAGTCACTCACTTACTTTAAGGTTGGAGTACAGCGGCGTTAAATCCAAGTCACTCACTTCCTTTAAGGTTGGAGAACAGCAGCGTTAAATCCAAGTCACTCACTTACTTTAAGGTTGGAGAACAGCGGCGTTAAATCCAAGTCACTCACTTCCTTTAAGGTTGGAGAACAGCAGCGTTAAATCCAAGTCACTCACTTACTTTAAGGTTGGAGAACAGCGGCGTTAAATCCAAGTCACTCACTTACTTTAAGGTTGGAGAACAGCGGCGTTAAATCCAAGTCACTCACTTACTTTAAGGTTGGAGTACAGCGGCGTTAAATCCAAGTCACTCACTTACTTTAAGGTTGGAGAACAGCGGCGTTAAATCCAAGTGACATACTTACTTTAAGGTTGGAGTACAGCGGCGTTAAATCCAAGTGACATACTTACTTTAAGGTCGGAGAACAGCGGCGTTAAATCCAAGTGACATACTTACTTTAAGGTTGGAGTACAGCGGCGTTAAATCCAAGTGACATACTTACTTTAAGGTCGGAGAACAGCGGCGTTAAATCCAAGTGACATACTTACTTTAAGGTTGGAGTACAGCGGCGTTAAATCCAAGTCACTCACTTACTTTAAGGTTGGAGAACAGCGGCGTTAAATCCAAGTGACATACTTACTTTAAGGTTGGAGAACAGCGGCGTTAAATCCAAGTCACTCACTTACTTTAAGGTTGGAGTACAGCGGCGTTAAATCCAAGTCACTCACTTACTTTAAGGTTGGAGTACAGCGGCGTTAAATCCAAGTCACTCACTTACTTTAAGGTTGGAGAACAGCGGCGTTAAATCCAAGTCACTCACTTACTTTAAGGTTGGAGAACAGAGGCGTTAAATCCAAGTCACTCACTTACTTTAAGGTTGGAGTACAGCGGCGTTAAATCCAAGTCACTCACTTACTTTAAGGTTGGAGAACAGCAGCGTTAAATCCAAGTGACATACTTACTTTAAGGTTGGAGTACAGCGGCGTTAAATCCAAGTGACATACTTACTTTAAGGTTGGAGAACAGCGGCGTTAAATCCAAGTGACATACTTACTTTAAGGTTGGAGTACAGCGGCGTTAAATCCAAGTCACTCACTTACTTTAAGGTTGGAGTACAGAGGCGTTAAATCCAAGTGACATACTTACTTTAAGGTTGGAGAACAGCGGCGTTAAACCCAAGTGACATACTTACTTTAAGGTTGGAGTACAGCGGCGTTAAATCCAAGTCACTCACTTACTTTAAGGTTGGAGTACATCGGCGTTAAATCCAAGTGACATACTTACTTTAAGATTGGAGTACAGCGGCGTTAAATCCAAGTCATTCACTTACTTTAAGGTTGGAGAACAGCGGCGTTAAATCCAAGTCACTCACTTACTTTAAGGTTGGAGAACAGCGGCGTCAAATCCAATTTTTTTTAAGTCACTCACTTACTTTAAGGTTGGAGTACAGAGGCGTTAAATCCAAGTCACTCACTTACTTTAAGGTTGGAGTACAGCGGCGTTAAATCCAAGTCATTCACTTAATTTAAGGTTGGAGAACAGCGGCGTTAAATCCAAATCATTCACTTACTTTAAGGTTCGAGTACAGCGGCGTTAAATCCAAGTCACTCACTTACTTTAAGGTTCGAGAACAGCGGCGTTAATCCATTTATGTTCGAGATCCTGATGGCAAAGTTCATGATTATTTCCTAAAAAACTAATTCAGATATTCATTATGTCTTCTGATTTTCTTCCAGGCTCCTAGAAGGAATTCCCCATGGCGCAGAAAGGGGGGTAATTTGCAGTATATTGCGATCAGTGTTCAGTGATGATAAGATCAACTTGGGCAGAGTGACGGTCATCTTCTGTTTGGCCTACACGATGTCAGCCAGGGTAGGTCAACCAACATCACTATCACCTTGACTGCACTGCCTGTGCCATCACCATGTCTGATTGTTGTTTAACGCCGCACTCCAGCATATATAACGGCGTCCTGGACCAGACAAGCTAGTGATGATTCTCTATCAGTCTGTGGCGTGGGTGGCAAATAAGCTGGTATCGATTATCAATTTTATTCTCATTGACATTGAATTATCTCCGTCAAATACTTCGCAAGCGCGCCATCAATTTCTGAAATAGCAATCTGAGTCTGATTGACCTTGACCTGCACAATGACCTCGTCAAACGTTTCGCAGCCATCTTGACGGATGACACATACAAAGTTATCCCCCTTGCATTACAATCAGATATGCTCGGTTGAGTTCGCTGAACTGCATTTGATATGTTTCAGTTTCGAGATAATATTGTCATAAATTGTATTCCGATTGGTAAGGAGTTCGGCATTTCCATGCAGGGTATGAATGTAAATCTTATCTGATCTGTCACGGGGGTAAATGGGTGAAAACTCCCTTTGAGTTAATATCCAGAGCCCCGCTCCACAAAGCAACCTTAGCGCTACGACGATCGTAAGCCTATGTTCAGGTATGGGAGTATGATCATCTCAGCGCAAAGATCGCTTTGTGGAACCGGGTCCAATATTGACGTTAACCTTTAACTAGCGTTGCTGTGTGGACTTTACACGTGTGTCTTTGTGTTGGCATGGGACCGCCTCCGTGGTCTTGTGGTAGAGCGTTCGCCCGGAGAGCGGAAGGTGCGGAGTTCGATCCCCGGCCGCGTCATACAAAAAGACGTTAAAAGATTGTACTTGTTGTTACCCTGTCTGGCGCTCGACATTAAGGGGCTAAAACAAGGACTGGTCGGCTCGGAGTCAGTATACTGTGTCTGAGTGGGGTATTCATGTTAAACTGCGGCATGGTATCTCAGTGAGCTACCACTATAAATCGGCATCAGTCCGGACTAGTACAAGCAGCTACACACACACATACACGTGCATGCACGTCGCTATATAAGTGCAATAATCTTGGACGCGACGTTAAACCCAATTTCACCTCACCTCACCTTGTGTTGGCATGGCTGACGGTCTTGGTTTCATTCAGGCCCAGTATAACAAAGCTAAAATCCGTGACATCATGGATGCTGTGATGGACTCCATGAAGGATGATGTCACACAATGGATTATTGACAACGGAGGCTGGGATTCAGCTGCAGCGATGCTCACTCCAACTAAGCTTCATGTAGGTACCAGAATATCATAACTTCCTAAACAAATATAGTTATGAAAATTAAACTGACTGAAATCGTCTGGGCATGCTTTAGACTGGTTGGACTTCCTCATTGATGACATCAGATTCTATGTAAAATTTGGGGATAAGACATTTCGACAAGAAGTAAGCATCTTCATGAGCACCATGTATCCCCCTTCTTGCTGATCTGTTTCTTAATGCATATAAATCGGAATTTCTGCTCGAATTGACAATGTCAAAACAGGTTATTTGGTTAAGAAGTTTAACATAAGCTTCAGTGAGTGAGTGAGTGAGTGAGTTGGGTTTAACGCCGCAATTAACAATATTCCAGTTATATCGCGGCGTGTCAGCTTAATGTGGGAGGAAAGCCCGAAGTGATGCAGGTCTCAGACGTTTACTACTTCGGTGAAACCCACGAGCACGGGTATGGTGCTGACAAACCTAGAAACATAGTCGGGGCGAACCGGGACTCGAACCCACAATCATAGGTTTTTGGCATGCCCAAGGGACGCAACTCTGCACAGCGAATCGCGGCGCCTTAGACGACTGGGTCACCCGTGCCCCTCATAAGCTTCGATGAACTGATATTGTTTAATAACCATCAAAATTAGTCAATTCCCTTTAACTCATTTACCCAGCTAGAAATTTAGGACCCCAGTGAGACCGCCTCATCTGTTTCATAACTTAGACCTGTGCATAGAGATTCAGAGTGACAAAATTCTCTCCTTGAGACATTTTGACAAGAGTCAACTTTCCCTTCATATCAAGCAATATTCCGGCAGCTATGTTAATTCGATAACCTTGAGGTTACGCTGATTGACTCCTTGAGATAATCGGCATCCTGTTGGAGTGAGTGAGTGAGTTGTGTTAATCGCCGCTTTTAACAGTATCCAAGTTATATCACGGCGTGTCAGCTTAATGTGGGAGGAAAGCCTGAAGTGATGCAGGTCTCAGACGTTTACCACTTCGGTGAAACCTACGAGCACAGGTATGGTGCTGATAAAAGTAGAAACATAATCGGGGCAAAATGGAATTCGAACCCACAATCATAGGTTTCTGGCGTGCAACTCTGAACAGCGAATCACGGCGCCTTAGACGACTGGGCCACCCGTGCCAAATAAAAACCAAATAAAACACATCGCACATTACAAAAAGGGGGATGCATAATTTCATTCATAATCATTTATTGCATTCTTATATTTTCAGAAAGCATTACAGGATTACTTGAGCGACAGCAGGAAGCAGACGATGTTTGTGCTTGGCGCGGGTGTTGTTTTGTTTGGAGTTCTGTATTTCTGGAACAGATTGCAAAAATAGTCCTTCAGTGTGTTATGTGTTTCGGAAGAAATTATGTTCGATTGATCTTAACGTAAATTCATTTCAAAACTGCATTGTCCCAGATTTGAATGTCTTCATATGTCCAGAGCTTTCGTAAAGGTTTCAACTGTTTCCTTCTTGGAGAATAAATCATTACTGAACCAAATTAAAAACTTCACAATCCTAAACTTTTAACATTTTGACCAGTTATCATTTCGGGCCCTTATTGTGTATTTAAACAGTAATGGCTACGTATTGTCTTCAGATAACACCCGTTTTTGTGCAGGTGAATCGATCAAAATCATGTGCACAGCACTATCGTGGCAAAAGTGTTTTTTCACGTGCAACTGGTCACGTGGACATAAAACCGCACGTGTTTTCAGCCATACTTAGCAGTCATTAACAAAAAAAGAAAAACACAAGAAAACAAAAGTCTTTACGGCCATTTGTCATGCCACGCCTTTCAAATGTGCAACGTGAACGTGCCATCGGCATGTTGCAGACGGGAACGTCCGTAGCTGAAGTCGCAAGGACGATGGGTTGTAGTCGACGGACTGTTAATGATTTACAGACGCGTCTACAGCAAACGGGTACCACCGCTGATCGCCCTCGGCCAGGTCGACCACGTGTGACGTCACATGCAGAGGATCGTCAGATTGTCTTACGTCACCTCCGTAACCGATTTTTGACGGCTTCATCAACCAGAAATAAACTGTTTAGGGGTAGACTGAATGCGCAAACCGTTCGAAACCGTCTGAGAACTGCTCACCTTCAAGCACGACGGCCATGCTGCGGGCCGATTCTGACTCAACTACACAGACGTCAACGTCAATTGTGGGCACAGCGACACTTACGATGGACTCAAGAGGAATTGGAATCAAGTCGTCTTCAGTGATGAATCCCGATTTAATCTTCGATTTGCTGATGGTAGGGCAAGGGTGAGGAGGCGCCGTCATGAACGTTACGCCCAGTGTTGTGTACAGGAAGTTGACAGATTTCGAGGCGGAAGTGTCATGGTGTGGGGTGCTTTCTGTGGCAATGCACATTCCAGGCTTCTTGTCATCCGTGGCAACCTCAATGCTGCTGCTTACCGCGACCAGGTACTGGCACCAGAACTTCTGCCTTTTATGGCAGCACATGGACCCGGTTTGATATTCCAACACGACAATGCCAGACCCCACACAGCAATTTTGACAAGGACTTTCCTTCAGAATGCGGGAGTCAACGTCATGGACTGGCCGTCAAGGTCTCCCGACCTCAGTCCCATCGAACACGTCTGAAATGCTCTTGGCAGAAGTCTGCGCACTCTCCAGAACCAACCACAGAATTTGCAAGATCTTGGCACCATTTTGCAGCAACAATGGCGTCGTCTTCCCAATCTTGTGTTCACAAGCATCACAAGGTCCATGCGGAGGCGTTGTGTGGCAGTTGTCAACGCACATGGTGACCATACACGCTACTGAACTTGTGTGCCATCAGATTCTCGTGCTATGGACTTACGATTTAAACTCTTGATGATATTACCGAATACCGTAGGTGCTTGGAACAAATTATGGTCACCACCGTTAATTAAAATCCTTCTTTTGACATTAATGATTAAAAATTACCTTCTCTGATACATTTGTCCGTTGTATATCATATATGGGATTACTTTTAAAAATGTGAAGTTTTTAATTTGACTCAGTATATCTTGACAATACATACTGCCTCGTTTCAATTCATTTTTAATTTCTTGTCATCTCAGGGCCTTTTGCGTTTTAAATATTCCGTAAAATCATAACGTATTGAGGTAAGTTGAGGTAGCTCTTTTTCTTTCATATTATGACATGAACAACCCTAGTTTCCTCAAGATTTTGACCAATGATATACAGTTGGTGGAACTCCCATTTTGGGTGTACCGACCAGCTTTTAATCCACAGTACGCTTCACCTTATCTTTGAATCATGTCTGTCGAAACAATATGAATTCGTATAATCATACCAAGGATCAAATATTAGTTTGTTTGTATATCTGAAATGCTGGCCTTAAAACCAACCTACTCACTTTAAAATCAACATGGTTAATATTAACTCTACGCAGAACTCATAGAATCTATTACTATTAACGCGTTTCGTCATTGAGACATCCCGTGTTGCGAGGCGGAACGCGTGGCCCAAGGTGAGGTGAGGTGAAATGGGGTTTAACGTCGCGTCCAAGATTATTGCACTTATATAGCGACGTGCATGCACGCGTGTGTGTGTGGCTGCTTGCACTAGTCCGGACTGATGCCGATTTATAGTGCTAGCACACTGAGATACCATGCTACAGTTTAGCATGAATACCCCACTCAGACTCGTTTTACTGACTCCGAGCCGACCAGTCCTTGTTTTAGCCCCTTAATGCCGAGCGCCAGACAGGATAACAACAAGTACCATCTTTTAACGTCTTTTGGTATGAGTCGGTCGGGGATCGAACCCCGGACCTTCCGCTCTCCGGGCGGACGCTCTACCACTAGACCACGGAGACGGTCGCGTGGCCGCCCAAATCAGCTGATTGTTCGTTTGATTTCCACATTCAGACCGAATATGACCCTTGTAACAAATAAAGCCAAACAAACAGGCTGCAGATTTCATCATTCATTGCACAATAAACTACGGTTATAACGAATGCGAGGGGACCACTAATTGTAGTTCGTAATAAACGTAGTTCGTTATTAACATACATACAGCATAAATATAACAAACGGTCCGGACTAAAAAAAAAGGTTCGTTATATCGGTCAGTTCGTTATAAGCATGTTCGTTATAAACGTAGTTTCCTGTATATTTATTGTAGTACGCTGATGTCTGTGCACACATAGGGGCGATCGGTCTCACTAGTACGCTGATGTCCGTGCACACATAGGCATAGGGGCGATCGGTCTCACTGGTACGCTGATGTCTGTGCACACATAGGGGCGATCGGTCTCACTAGTACGCTGATGTCTGTGCACACATAGGGGCGATCGGTCTCACTAGTACGCTGATGTCTGTGCACACATAGGGGCGATCGGTCTCACTAGTACGCTGACGTCTGTGCACACATAGGGGCGATCGGTCTCACTAGTACGCTGATGTCCAACCACAAAAACATATTTAAATAAATATAAAGATATTTTATATTTTGTTAAGAAAATGTAAGTGTAGGCACGTGCCTATTGTGTCCCCGGCAGTTTAACATGGATGCCCCACTCAGACACAGTATACTTTTTTCATCTCCATAACGCCGAGCGCCTGACTCGGCATTAACAAGTATATTCTTTTAACGTCTACTGGTATCAAGCTCTTCGGCCAGTCACACTGTCAACTTGGTGGTCACATGGTGTTAGGAGGCAGGTAGGAGATGGGAGCACAAAACTGAAACAGACATCGATCACATGTGTTTTCGAACAGTATTTGTCCTTCTGAACAATTTCCACCATGTCATGGGCATTATGAGGATATGAAAATACAAACAAATATATGGTAGCGCTATAAGGTAAATGTGATCGAGAAAAACAAAACATCATTAGGCTAAATAACAAGAGCATTGATCAATACTAGACTGAAAAGAAGTAGAGGACAGCAGAATGAGGGAGTGTACCACAAAAAGAGCTGGATAAAGAGGATTAGATCAGAGAAGTGGAGAAAAGCAGAATGAGGTAGTGTAACAGAAAGAGCTGGATACAGAGGACTAGGTCAGAGAAGTGGAGAAAAGCAGAATGACGTAGTGTAATAGAAAGAGCTGGATACAGAGGACTAGGTCAGAGAAGTGGAGAAAAGCAGAATGAGGTAGTGTAACAGAAGGAGCTGGATACAGAGGACTAGGTCAGAGAAGTAGAGAAAAGCAGAATGAGGAAGTGTAACAGAAAGAGCTGGATATAGAGGACTAGGTCAGAGAAGTGGAGAAAGCAGAATGAGGTGGTGTAACAGAAGGAGCTGGATACAGATGACTAGGTCAGAGAAGTAGAGAAAGCAGAATGAGGAAGTGTAACAGAAAGAGCTGGATATAGAGGACTAGGTCAGAGAAGTGGAGAAAGCAATATGAGGTAGTGTAACAGAAGGACCTGGATACAGAGGACTAGGTCAGAGAAGTGGAGAAAGCAGAATGAGGTAGTGTAACAGTAGGAGCTGGATACAGAGGACTAGGTCAGAGAAGTGGAGAAAACAGAATGAGGTTGTGTAACAGATGGAGCTGGATACAGAGGACTAGGTCAGAGAAGTGGAGAAAAGCAGAATGAGGTAGTGTAACAGAAAGAGCTGGATACAGAGGACTAGGTCAGAGAAGTGGAGAAAGCAGAATGAGGTAGTGTAACAGAAGGAGCTGGATATAGAGGACTAGGTCAGAGAAGTGGAGAAAGCAGAATGAGGTAGTGTAACACAGAAGGAGCTGGATACAGAGGACTAGGTCAGAGAAGTGGAGAAAAGCAGAATGAGGTAGTGTAACAGAAAGAGCTGGATACAGAGGACTAGGTCAGAGAAGTGGAGTAAAGCAGAATGAGGTAGTGTAACAGAGTGGAGTAAAGCAGTATGAGGTAGTGTAACAGAGTGGAGAAAAGCAGAATGAGGTAGTGTAACAGAGTGGAGAAAAGCAGAATGAGGTAGTGTAACAGAAAGAGCTGGATACAGAGGACTAGGTCAGAGAAGTAGAGAAAAGCAGAATGAGGTAGTGTTACACAGAAAGAGCTTGATACAGAGGACTATGTCAGAGAAGTGGAGAAAAGCAGTATGAGGTAGTGTAACAGAGTGGAGAAAAGCAGAATGAGGTAGTGTTACACAGAAAGGGCTGGATACAGAGGACTAGGTCAGAGAAGTGGAGGAAAGCAGAATGAGGTAGTGTTACACAGAAAGGGCTGGATACAGAGGACTAGGTCAGAGAAGTAGAGAAAAGCAGAATGAGGTAGTGTAACAGAAGGAGCTGGATACAGAGGACTAGGTCAGAGAAGTGGAGGAAAGCAGAATGAGGTAGTGTAACAGAGTGGAGAAAAGCAGAATGAGGTAGTGTTACACAGAAAGGGCTGGATACAGAGGACTAGGTCAGAGAAGTAGAGAAAAGCAGAATGAGGTAGTGTAACAGAAGGAGCTGGATACAGAGGACTAGGTCAGAGAAGTGGAGAAAAGCAGAATGAGGTAGTGTAACAGAGTGGAGAAAAGCAGAATGAGGTAGTGTTACACAGAAAGGGCTGGATACAGAGAACTAGGTCAGAGAAGTAGAGAAAAGCAGAATGAGATAGTGTAACAGAAGGAGCTGGATACAGAGGACTAGGTCAG